CACACAGACACACGCAGACACACACAGACAGACACAGACAGACACACACACACACAGACACAGACAGCACGCTAAGCACTACACTACCGTTCCCCCTACACAACACACGCGCGCGCGTCCATAGGTACACATACACGCGCTTGCTGCAGACACACACGACTTTCAGGGTGCGTAAGGCAGTAAACGACTGAAATAATAAAGCGGCAATGCTGTGCGAGGAACGCCTTAGACCAGCAACACATTTGTGTAATGCGAGCGTAAACACACAAACACATACAAACACATACACACACATACATACACACACATACACACAAACACATACACACAGACATACACATACACACAAACACACACATACATGCACACAAACACATACACAATACACACACACATACATGCAGACACAGACAGACACATAACACACATACATACACACACATACACACACATACATAGACACACACATACATACACACGAACACATCCACAGACGTACATACACACATACATACAGGCACGCAGACATACACATAAACACATACAAAAAAACCCACATACATACACACACACATACATACACACAAACACATGCACACACATACATACACACATGCATACAGACACACAGACATACACATAAACACATACACACATACACATGACCCGGCTTCGCCCGGGACTTGGATCCACCACGGCGGCAAAACCGACATACATACACACACAGACATACACACAAACACATACACACACACATACATACACACATGCATACAGACACACAGACATACACATAAACACATACACATGACCCGGCTTCGCCCGGGACTTGGATCCACCACGGCGGCAAAACCGACATACATACACACACAGACATACACACAAACACATACACACACATACAAACACACATGCATACAGACACACAGACATACACATAAACACATACACATGACCCGGCTTCGCCCGGGACTTGGATCTACCACGCCCAGCCGCCTTTGTCTCCCAAGTGCCGATGTTAATACGCCACACCAGTTACTCGTTTGAGGCTGAGTGGACCTAGGGGAGGTTCAAATAATCGTCACCGGTGGTGGCCGTGAGCGGGAATGGAACTGGGTTCGCCGGGTTGGTAGCGCAGCGTAGCGTTAAGCACTACACCCACCGCTCCTCACACACCACACACGCACAGACACACACACAGACACACGCAGACACACACAGACAGACACAGACAGACACACACACACACAGACACAGACAGCACGCTAAGCACTACACTACCGTTCCCCCTACACAACACACGCGCGCGCGTCCATAGGTACACATACACGCGCTTGCTGCAGACACACACGACTTTCAGGGTGCGTAAGGCAGTAAACGACTGAAATAATAAAGCGGCAATGCTGTGCGAGGAACGCCTTAGACCAGCAACACATTTGTGTAATGCGAGCGTAAACACACAAACACATACAAACACATACACACACATACATACACACACATACACACAAACACATACACACAGACATACACATACACACAAACACACACATACATGCACACAAACACATACACAATACACACACACATACATGCAGATGCAGACACAGACAGACACATAACACACATACATACACACACATACACACACATACATAGACACACACATACATAGACACACACATACATACACACAAACACATGCACACACGTACATACACACATACATAGAGACACGCAGACATACACATAAAGACATAAAAAAAACCCACATACATACACACACACATACACACAAACACATACATACACATACATACACACATACATAGAGACACACAGACATACACATAAACACAAACACACATACACATGACCCGGCTTCGCCCGGGACTTGGATCCACGATGCCCCGCCGCCTTTGTCTCCCCAGTGACGATGTTCACACACGACAGCAGTTACGCTTTTGATGCTGAGTGGACCTAGGGGAGGGCCAGGTCCGTTTCAAATAATCGTCAGCGGTGGTGGGCGTGAGTTGGAATCGAACTGGGGTCGCTCAAGCAGCTTAATGACTGTTTGTACAAAGAACATATAAAGAATCGATTATAATAACCAGGCAAGAGTCCACATTATAGACTGCCAGTACACGCACTCAGCTTCATAAGCAGGCTAGAGTGTACATGATAGAGTGGCAGTACGCTCACCGAGCTTAATAAGCAGGCTACAGTGTACATGATAGACTGGCAGTACGCTCACCCAGCTTAATGAGTATTTGTACAGTGAACATTAAAGTAATCGATTGTTGGCGCGTTGGGTTTAAAAGTAATATTAATAGCACACATTGTGGTGGGGGTGTAGTGAAGAGTAGGAAAAACTTTGATGAATTTACCTCAGAGTGGCGTGGTGGGTGTCGAGGCCTAGTAGCGTGCAAAGCCTGCGGCCTCGCCTAAAATTGTCGGCTTGGAAGAGGCAGGGTACGGGTGGCGTTCCTTCCCCCCCCCTAGCGCTCCAACAATACTGTGTAATGGCTATTATTTAATTAAATACGGAGCTTATGAAAGTGGCGAAGGCGTGGCTAGCCGTTGGCAGGGGCAACCGCCGTCCAATGAAACTGCAGCCCTTGGCGAAGGCGTGGCTAGCCGTTGCCAGGTCCAATGAAAGCGGCGAAGGCGTGGCTAGCCGTTGCCAGGGGCAACCGCCGTCCAATGAAAGTGCGTATGGGCCAAAGTCCACACACACACACACAGACAGACATGAACGATTTTATATATATATAGAGTTATATATGCAGAAATGGGCAACGTTTTGGGTAATGACCCTTCTTTGTGATTTATGAGTTTGATCAGTGATGATGTGGATGTGGCTAGATGATCCAAGGGGTCCAAACATTGAGCCAGCAAGGTTCATAGATAATTATATTTGATAACTTATTATGATATGATTATTGAGTATTTAATGATGATCAAAGGCAAAGGTGCAAGGCTGCCCACGCCACAGTTGGCTTTAGGGCTCCTCTAGAACCAACTATATTAGGGTATTTGGTCTACTCTTCAGCGTTGAGCAGCAGAGGTTGGTGTACTCACACTTCATTCCACCTGCCGATCGACTGTGTTGTACTCATGAATACTGCTAGGTGAACAGCGGTGTGGGCTGTTTGTTGAAACAAAAACCCTCCCCATTGTTTCAAATGCCATGCTGGGCGGTGGAATCGAATCAGCAACTAGTCCAGTCGTGTGCTGACCATTGCACCATGGTAACTGATGCTGCAGATTATTGCTAATAATTGTGTATGTATGATGATGATGTACATGCTCATCGCTAATGATGATTATCAAAACATGTTATGCTGATGTGCATACTACATGATTATTAGTCTTACATTTGTTTACCCAGGAAAGCCTCGGTCTCAACTCTTTTTCAGTAAGGTCCTGCCAAGTTTTGACGGTAGGGGCAATGTTGCTATACGTGATATCAACTGAATAAGTTTCTGGTACTGGTAGGATCCTCCTGGTTACACCAGCCCACAGGGATTATTGTGTCCGTCCGTCCTGCATCCAAAAATGGGAGGGGTAGGGCTGGGTGGAGAGGGGAGGGGGTGGATGGGCTGGGTGGGGAGGGTGGGCAGGGGCTGGGTGGGGAGGGTGGGGAGGGGCTGAGTGGGGAGGGTGGGGCTGGGTGGGGAGGGTGGGGAGGGGCTGGGTGGGGAGGGTGGGGCTGGGAGGTGTGGGGCTGGGTGGGGAGGGGCTGGTCACCCCGTGGTGCCCTTATAAAACTCAACGTTTAACCTACTCACGCCGGCTTGTGCCCGCCCTCACAGTCGGCCATATTTGCGGAATACACCACGCCGCCGTTGACCCTGCAGGCCATTGACCGAGCAACCCAACGTTCCTACCAGCTCCCTCCGCAGGAATGTATTAACTTTTCACCATTGGGATGGGTTTGGCCAATTGCAAGGGCACTGTTTTTGTTTTAGCTTTGGGAGGGAAACCGGAGAACCCAAATAACGTCCATGCAGAACAGGTGGAGAACATTAAGCTAAAACTTCTCACGGAGTCGGGAATCGAATCCAGGAACTTTTGACTGCGAGGCACAAGTGTTACTACTGCGCGCCACCGTTATTATCACTCACGCCAAGCCAGACAGATGACCCCCTCCCCTGCCACGCCGCACGTACGCACACATTCATTCTCTCGCCCGTGCAGCATGACAATCTGAATCTCATTAGCAGCTCCCCAAGCACGTGGTGCCGACATCTCCGCCCACACTGGGGCCCAGGGCTGGGGCTGTCTGTTCATGGGGAGACGGGGGGGAGGGCAGGGGGGGCAGGGGGGGGCAGGGGGGGAGGGGTGAGGGCAGGGGGGGAGGAAAGGGATGGGGGGGAAGGGAGGGGAGAGAGGGGGTGGGAGGGGAGGGGTTAGGAGGGATGGAAATGGAGTGGGAGGGGAGGGGGTAGGAGGGGCATGGGGCAGGAGGGGAGGGGGATGGAGTGGAAGGGCATGGGGTGGAAGGGGCGGGGCATGGGTGAGAGGGGCGGGGGATGGGTGGAAGGGGAGGGGCATGGGGTTGGAGGGGAGGGGCATGGGGTGAGAGGGGCGGGGGATGGGTGAAAGGGGAGGGGCATGGGGTTGGAGGGGAGGGGCACGGGGTTGGAGGGGAGGGGCATGGGGTGAGAGGGGCGGGGGATGGGTGAAAGGGGAGGGGCATGGGGTGAGAGGGGCGGGGCATGGGTGTAAGGGGAGGCCCGTGGAAGGGGAGGGGCATGAGGTTGGAGGGGAGGGGCATGGGGTTGGAGGGGCGGGGCACGGGGTGGGAGGGGAGGGGGGTGGGAGGGGAGGGGGGTGGGAGGGGCGGGGGGTGGGAGGGGAGCGGGGTGGGAGGGGAGGGGGGGGAGGGGGGTGGGAGGGGAGGGGGGTGGGAGGGGAGGGGGGTGGGAGGGGAGGGGGGTGGGAGGGGAGGGGGGTGGGAGGGGAGGGGGGTGGTGACACATCACACCGGGCCCCACGTCTTGCTACGCACGACCGTACCAGACGTCAGCAGTGGCTGCTGCTGGCTGCTGCTGCTGCTGTTGTTGTTATTATTGCACAGCCTCAGCACTGTAGTACTGTAGGCAACCATAACAACAGCGGCAACGAGGAAGGCGCCAGCACAATCACTTTGGTTGACAGCAGCAGCAGCAATAGACTCGTAACGTAATCACCGTGTGCCTGTGCTGACTCCTCCAGTGACGTGCTGTGTTGTGCGTGCTGGTAGTTAGTCTTGGTGGTGGTGGTTAGTCGTGGTGGTTGTTGTTGTTGTTGCTGAATCCGGCGTGCGCCGTGGCCTGGCGCCGCCAGCTGTGCTCGGCAATGTCCGCGTTGTGGCGAACGACGACGAGAAGGCGACTTGGCCATTGAACGCCAAGCTGAGCGTCGTGTCTCCGAGACGTCCCCCTTTGTCGTCCGCTTGACACGAAGAAGACGACGAGGACGACGAGTCGTGTAGAGAGTCCCCTGACTACGACGACGACGACGGTGGTGGTGGTGGTGTCTTGGTCTCTCTGCGGTGGGACGTGAGAGAGACGAGACGGATCAAGGGGGGGTGGGGGAGACCTAATAAGGTACGTGTTGTTGTTGTTGTGTGATGGATAGTTACTGCTGCTGTTAGAAGAAAAGACGGGCAACATACAGGGTTGTTTTGTGTGGGGCTTGGGGGGTTAGATCGCGTGAAAATAAATGTGTCGTTAAACCCGCCACCACCCGACACGGCTCCATTCATGTGAGTTGTCACGTAAACGGAACGTGTCAATTTCGTAACGTAGTAGTGGGCCTTTCGCGAGCAATATCCATAACAGAGGTTGTTGGGGTTCGATGGCGTAAATATATAAACGTGTCGTTAAAACCCTCCACCACCCGACACGGCCAACTATAGTAAGGGTTTTCACGTACACAGAACGTGGACAATTCGTCACTAGTACATCACTAACCTGTGTGTGTTGGAGAGGCCAAGCCACACACATTTACAATCTTGAATAGCGGGTAACGTCTCGCCAAATTGCCTGCCCTGTTGTTTCCAGATAAGGACCACCTCGACTGGTGGACGAGGTTTAAATGTCTCGATGAAGGTTATCTTGGTGTGCCCACGACTCATCATGTGTCTGCGTCAGCCGCAGATGATTGAGCTGTCGCAGTGTGTTCAACCACATCACGTACTACGCCTTGGCTCAAATAAAAAAGCGAGGTTTGTAAGATGATTAAGTTGGACCGGTGTACCGATGATATGAACAACAGAAATGTCTTGACGATTATTCGGAAGAGTGATTTTATGATTTTATGTTACGCTTCATAAAAGACAACATCTTATCTGCACCATGTCTCTCCAACAAGCAAAAAAAAATGTCCACGCCTGAAGGAAATCCTCACGACTGAGACGTAGGAAATAGTGTACAACATGAAACCTAACCTGATCTACATGCCGTGTGGCTTGCGTATATTGGCACAGAAAACGCCTTGTACATCTGTGTTGACGCATCGTGCAGTTATTTATGTGCGATTTTTCTACATTGCGTGTTGTTTACACCCCAGTGTCAAGAAGGAGGGGAGGGGAGGGCCTTGGCGGTCACGATCGTGGTGTGAATGTTGCCAAGCCATAGCCTGGGTTTAAAAAGTCGAGTTTCGGGTTTGCTGTGCCAGTTTGTGTGGTGGGCACGCTGCCTTTTGTCGCTGTGCAATTTTGGTACGTCAAGGTTCATACGTTGTGCCCTTAAAGCTTGCCTTATAATTTACAATGCTATCACCGCAGATCACGTTTCACGCCCTTAATGTGTGTGTGGTCACAAAGCTGGGTTTCTCATTATTTTGACCCGTGTGGTGTGCCGTGTTGGAAGGATCTCTTCTTACAAAAGTAGTTGTTTTTAATCATTAATCTTGCAATGTGTGTGTGTGTTTTTTAAAGATATCTCTAAAATAAGTTCCTGAAAATAATCCACAGTGGGTTTGTGACCGTGCAGCCAAAATGACCCATTTACGGAACATACAGTAAACAGCAAACCTACACACGAATTCCATCCTGAAGTGCCTCTCATCATAGCCTAGCAGACCGCACGACATTGTCATTTAGATCCTGGACATATTGCCATATGCACGCATAGAATCGTTCACAAATCCCCCCCACTTCACTTTATCTTTGGTGGTGGTGGAAATGTAAGTCAAAGTTCATGAGCCCCACTGTATTAAAGGTCTGGGCTTTTGTTGACAGTTTTGGATACACCGTTCACGACGCTTTGGGGACACAGTATTGTGAATTTATTACACTATGTAACACAATTTTTATTCCTGGGTAGTAAGTGGTATTTCGTAATTGCTTATGCCTGAAGAGTATAGAAAATGGCTATTATTCTCCACAAGCTTTGCTTTTGTGACCAGGACGGTGATATTTTGAAATTTACCTTTTTTCAATGAGAAAACGGGCAAATTTGTGTATTTTCGTTCACATAAAGTCAGAAAAAACCATGAATAAAAAATTACATGTATTTATACTAAAGTAATACATAAATGACTACAAAAGAATTAGATGTGAGTAGTTTTTCGAGATTTACGGTTATACTGTAAACCACTTTCACGAATCAGCCCCCAAATGTAGTCTCCCATCATGTTCTCGTTATACTGTCCTTGGTAGCGGCGTTCAAAGTCCAGTATATCCTGGTGGAAGCGCTCGCCTTGCTCCTCCGAGTACGCTCCCATGTTCTCCTTGAATTGATCAAGATGAGCATCAAGGATATGGACTTTGAGGGACATCCTACAGCCCATTGTGCCGTACTTCTTCACCAGTCTCAACCAGCTCCACATAGTTTTCGACCTTGTGATTGCCCAGGAAGCCACGAACCACTGTGACAAAGCTGTTCCAAGCCGCTTTCTCATTGCTAGCGAGCTTCATTGGGAATTCATTTCACTCCAGGATCTTCTTCATCTGTGGTCCGACAAAGACACCGGCTTTGACCTTTGCCTCAGACAGCTTAGGGAAGAAGTCTTGAAGGTACTTGAAGGCTGCCGACTACTTTTCTACAGCTCTGACATTGTTTCATGATGCCCAATTTGATGTGCTGTGGTGGTATCAGCACCTTCCGGGGGTCCACCAGTGGCTCCCACTTGACGTTGTTCCTCCCCACAGAGAACTCGGTCCGCTGTGGCCAGTCCCGCCTGTGGTAGTGCACCTTGGTGTCTAAATCTTTGGTCGTCATATTTTTTTATTACTTTAGTATAAATACATATAAATTTTGATTCATATGTGTTTTTTCTGACTTTATGTGAACGAAAAGACACACATTCGCCCGTTTTCTCATTGAAAATAAGTATATTTATAAATATCACTGTCCTGGTCACAAAAGCAAAATTTATGGGGAATAATAGCCATTTTCTGTACTTTTGAGGCATAAGCAATTTCGACATAACACTTCCTACCCAGGAACAAAAAAAAACTGTTACACAGTGTTATTAGTGTCAGTGCTGGGAGGCGAATGCAAAACTAGCAGCAGTGTGGGATGTTTCCCCGGCAGAGTATTCAAACACCGAATGTTTATTTGGATGGATGTTACGCATGTTTTTGTTCGTCAAAGACCACATGCTTTCACTTGGCATTAGCATCACTTTCACAGTAGTACTGTATGCGGTGCATTACTCAAGTTGCATACACTTTAGCGTTTGCTCTAATCGTGGATAATGTTCTGTATTTACAGCTATTTGTTAATCCACCACTGTATGAGGGCCAAGTTTGACCATTCCTTACGACTCTGTTCTTCGCGGCTTTGTGAAGTGGGTGGCCTTGAACCATTTTTAGATGCCACTCGCCACTGACGTTAACCGTGGCCTGGAATTAAAATTGGATTGGCTGGTTAATGTATTCTATACCCATCCACACTGACCAGCATGGGGAAGTATGGTCTTTTAACCCCTCACGACATGGGGAAGACCCTCATTCAGCGGTGGATTGATGACAAGTTCTGTTTGTGTACAGTATTCTTAATAGTTGTTACAACACCTGGGACTTGCTTATCTCAATAGCTTGTGTGTGCGAATGAGGAACAACGCGTATTTACCCAAGTTGGTTCGAGGCCAATTTAAATATTTATATCATTTTGTGCTAGAATTATGCGGCTGACACGCAGACATATCTTCTTGCACCCAAGCTTTGCATGAAGGTGAAGTAAGCATAAGTTAGTGATTCCGTATTCGCTCCTAAGGGTACTTGTACAGACCCATATAACGTGGGAAGAAGCTGACCCGTACTAGTAATTAATCAGCCCTGGTAAAATTGCAATATTCCCCGTGGTGAGTATTTCTGTTCACTTTTTAAGGCCACGACTCACAAATACACAATACAACTCGAGTGCTGTATTGTTTAGACTGTACTTCAGACGAAACCGAGTAACCGCTTGTCTCCCAAGTATGGATTGGCAATTTCTCGTTGTGGCCATTTGGAAAGATTTGGCTTCTGGCTTACACAACTGCCTTGTTATCAAAAGTGGTTAATATTCAGAGAGAAGTGCTCTGGAAAATTGAAATCCTACAGTGCAAGTTGCGCGATACATTTGTTCGTTTTGCTGGTCACAAGTACAGGTCTTTCACAATCGTACAGTGGCAGAGTGCCTGTTTGTTATTTGTTCACCATAAAACATCGTAGAAGTTCTAGGAATGCAGTTGTGCTGCATACAGTCCACACTCAAATGTGGGTAGACAGTAAGTTAATGCACAACTAGTTATTGTGGCTGCCCTGTCAAACTTTAATCTTCGTTACTAAACTACACTTGACTCACCTTTGGCCAGTCACACAACATATATGCTGTAGATGTAATGCCTAAATTACAAAATTGCAATAAGTTTCTCATTACCGGAATTTGTTTGGTTCATCTCTAATTGTTGCTGCATTCTCCAATTGGAGGGTGTTTTTCATCCGCTCCGAGCCCACAAATGGTAATTTTAAGGTTCATTGCTTATGAGGTTGAAGCCAGCTTATTATGTGCAATTTGTGTTTGTTTATATGCAAGGTTCAAAATAAACACATGTAAAAGCATAATGTAATTTATCCTTATCAGTGGAGGGTGTTTTTTGGTTATTTGGTCCTTTAGCTAGGATACAAAATATAAAAAACCCTAATTAAGCACTTTGTAAATTCCAGCCTCAGTTTTTATTCCTCTCACGTCTGGTGTTCTGCATTGTCGGGTGTGGTGTTTTTACGGATGGATGATGATGGTATGCTGAGGATGTGCCGGGCCGATTAATACGGCGCTATACAGCTGAGGTAATATTGCTGATGCGTTCGCAATGTTTCGTACAACACTTTTTTTTGCGCCCACTGTTGTAGGTAGGGGCGTTATGGCGGAGGGTTCCTCAGGCATCCACAGACATGCCCTCCCGGTGGCGTAAATGAACAGCACGTCAGATGTCCACAGCGGAGGAGAAGCCAGCCCCTTCCTCTGAGCATGGGGGAGACCAGTACAGGTTGGTCCACGCATATGAACGTAACCCTGTGTTTTTCTTCGTAGCTCTACCCTGCATGAACATTTGGTCGAAAGGCAGCCTGCATGTGAGTGATCGAGTAAAGTGTGCGTGCTCCCACCTTTTCCAGGACGGCTGGCCAGTGCGGACAAGTAGGCAAAATAATATTTTAGAGAGGTCTCTGGAGCGCCTTCGAGTGGATGCCCTTTTGGCAGTAGTGGTGTAAGCAAGCAGTTGTAAGGCTGCATCCTTTTCCTTTACCCAATGTATAGGAAAAGCAGTTATTCTTCAAATAGGGGCATATAAGAATGCAGTAATTGTCAACAATTTACAGCCCTTTGTCAATTTGCTACTGGATGTCGGCCTCCCCACATCACGTCGGTTATGAGGGTTGTTTTACCATACTTCACCACACTGGTCATTGTGGGTTGGTGAAGAGGGTGAGACAAAGGATTGTTTCATATATTACTTCCCACTGATGCTAGCTATGGCTAAGTATCAAACTCAGGTGGCCAGGTTCATCGTGCAGTGTGCAGACTGCTATGCCACTTCTTCACAGGAGGGACATTGGTGGTTTATTCAAGCCAACTGCTTGTGTATACAAAACACTCATGATGTGTGTTGTCAAGGATTTGGTGGTAGTATAAGTAATGAACAAAAGTTTACCTCTGTATAAAAAATAACATCGCATTTTTGTTGTTGGGTCGGATGAATTGCATATAGATCCAATGGTCTTAAATATTTTTATGTTAAAGATTATATATTTAAAACCATTAGACCTTTAGCAGTTGCCATGTTGGTCTTGTTATTCTTCAAAAGTTTTTGTTTTAACTATATGCAGGTTTGGGCTAGATCTGGTATTGTAGCTTTCCCTATCTGAAACTCATCTAAGTTTTGAAGAAGCTTTGATATATGGATAAAATAACCGATTTACTTGAACCTTCCTTGCATATTTTATGGGAGGAAAAAATATCTTTCTCTGCATGACATGACAGATAATTTTAATGGTGTTTAATTGCTCCATTAACATGAATAAAGTTGTCCTGGGATTCTGAAGACTGAAGTTTTGATAAGTGGGATAGTTTTTAGATTTTAAATGACACTTGTTTTCTAAAATTAGAAATCATTACTGTCCTGCAATGGTGGCTTTTTAAACTATTTTACTCAATTCTAAATGAGAAACATACCGAAATTCAAGTCTCACATCGTTAAAGTTTTAATAACGTGTAAAAAATGCTGGCTAACCGTTCCACAAACCATCTGTAAAATATTGACGAACCTTCAGAACCATTAAATGTATAAATTGCAATTTTTCGGTCGAGTTATATTCAGTTTTGCATCCTAAAATACACAGCAAATATAGGTTAATCATTTAGTACTCATGACCAACCAGTGTTTAAGCGTTTTTTATTTGTTTCACAGATGATCCCGTTTCGCCAGTTTTTCCCGGCTATTTTACTTGGAGATCCGTCGTGCATGAGCATAGCTACAATAAAACAGTCGTAAAGAAAATAATGGTGAAATTTCACAGGCATTTTCTAGTTTATTTACAAACCTGAATTGTACGCTTGGATTTTTATTTTGTATTCCTGTCTTTTGCTCCATGGGTCCTGTGTGGAGTGCGGGAAGCGAAAGCCCCTTCTGTCGGATCTGTCACGAGGGCAGCGCCCAAGAGGAGCTGTTGTCCCCATGTGAGTGCACCGGCACCCTGGGCTGGGTGCACCGGAGCTGTCTGGAGCACTGGCTGGCAGCCTCCAACACCAGCTACTGCGAACTCTGCCACTTTCAGTTTCTGGTTGAGCGCAAGCCACAACCGTTAACGCAGGTACGTTTTTGTATGCAAGACCATTTGTTCTGCAAGGAAGTACTGTACCTACTTGTGCTTCCGGGTGGTGGCGCACGCCTGTAATGCACCACTGTGGCGGTGAGGGTTGGTGGAGCGCACGAATGTTGCAAAACTCCCAAGCCCTTGGGCGTTCAAGTGCCATACCTTGGCTTGTCAGAAGAGGGCAGTAGCATACAGCAAAATGTGGACTCGTAAACTTGCGTTTCTATGGAATTGAGTGTTTCCCCCTCGCACGTATGGAGCTTCTTTGGGTACTTGGGTTTTCCCCACATGTAAATACTCATGAAATGGTGAATAACACTTTAATATATAGAGGGCCGCGGAGCTTAGGCATTGTCAGCCCGCACCTTCGATTAGCATGGTTGGCTACATATGGTGCAAAAGAAGTTCAACATAATACATACTTCATGCTTGTCTGTGGTTCCAAACTCCTCTGAGTCCTTGTCTGTCTCCGGCAGTGAATACCGTTTGTGTTACAAATTGAAATTATTATTCCAGCATGTTTTTATTCTTCTATTATGAACTGAATGTACAGCATTCATTATTGTGAAGTTTTAACGGCATAACAAAATATTGATTACATAAAGTGCCAATCGTCCTTAATAGAACCCTTTGGAAGGTTTAAAACTTTGGCTTTTATTTATTGTTGTATATAAGGCCATGGCTTTTCAGCAAATGCAGTGCATCTTCATAGAATTGGGAGATGCACCGTATTTGTGTGTGCAGATAAGGTCTTAATCTTAATTTTAGAAACTTTCGTGACTGCAGGAATTATTATTTGGTTCTTTCGGTTGTCACGTCTAAAGATAAAATAATAAATAATATTTAATAATAATATAATAATATTTAATTTTATTTAAGATAAGGTCTTGTTTATTAAGTGTTTTGTTTTGGGAAATGTCTATACAGTATCCGGTTTTATAATTTCATTTGACAGTTGTACTATAATTGTAGTGCAGTTAACGAAATGTTATGATGCAAGACAGATGTGTTAAAAGTCTTTTGATGTTTAATCCGAGTCGATGGCCCCAGCTTCATTAATTACTTCAGATCGATAATCGTATACAATTGGAGTTTGCTCTATTTGTTGAAATGTATATTTTAGGGCAACGACAGCTTTGTCGAACCATTTAGATTCCCTTTTAACTGGTTGCACTTGAATATTCCTGTCTGCCAGCCAACAGAGGCCATCCATCATTCCTGAGAGTTAACGGGGTATGGGGGGCTTCAAACACCATCACATTCCTGATAACTAACTTGGAAAAGAATAGATGTTCGGTGCCTATCTTACAGTAGAGGAAAATTGTTACTTATGAGCTTTAGTACCATCAAATAACAATTAGTACATTTGTATTTGATCACAAGGTGATTTTGGTAAAAAAAATTATATTGTCTAATACTGTAGTACTGTACTCTTAGACATAATAACATCACTAAATATAATCTTATCTGCGAAACATGGTGTGGGAAAGTGCTCCCCCCTCCCCGAGAGAAAGAAATGTCACTTGAAAGGGTCTCAAAAGTAGCAGTTGGAATCGTCATCTGTGTGCGGCTCTAACACACCAGGTAGCACTGCTGTGCGAGTTCCAAATGGAAACTTTATCTCATCACCCAACAGCACAATGTGGATAATATTGTGGAAAACACAAGAAAAATGTGGCACTGTTAATCTTATTTCTGTAGTGCTTTTTTATTGCAGAGGGCCCCATTGTTTAGATGGATTGCCCTTGCCAATAAAATTTCGTAACCAAACATTTAACAAGACTGACTACTGAAGAAACAGATCAAAACCATTTCAGTTTTCTTTCTCCTGGATGTTGGTCTGGAAAGCCAATAGACTGATGAACTAAAACATTTTTATTTATGTGGAGACACAAAAACAGTGCTGCTTATATAATTTTTTGTTAATTTTCTGCAGTGGCTGAGGAACCCCAGTCCCAAACAGGAGCGAAGGACTCTGCTGAGTGATACATTATGCTTCCTGTTCATCACACCACTGGCCGGCATCTCAGGGTGGTTGTGCCTCCGTGGGGCAGCTGACCACCTAGAATCTGGCAACCGCAGTCAACTCGAGGCCGCTGGGCTCATCGGACTAACCGTAGCTCTGCTTACGATTTACCTCTTCTGGACAGCAGTGAGTTTTTTTTCTTCCAGCACCTCATTTTGATTGTTTTCCTATGGAAAACAACTCTTATTTGTGATTATCTCGGTGGACCACCTACGTAAAATATTTTATATTATGAAAGTTGTGGTTCAATTGTCACTATCTTTATCCTTGCCTTGTTTTTCAGAAAAGTACCAATTTAGTAAAACCATTACTAAACACCATAATTCATACGTTTTTATAATGTATCTCGTTGGCAGATTGCAAGTTGCTACTGTTAGGCAAATGGCTCCATTTTCTTCTTCCTATTCCCAAGTGTTTCCTGTTGTAGCTTCTTAACTTATTCAATTTGTCTCTGCTGCTGCTGCCGCGTTCCTCTGCCTGTTTGGCCTTTTCTCAATGTCCACTCCGTGAATCATATAAACCTTAGCTCTTGATGGTTTTTTTTAGGTTTCTGTACGCTATCACATACGACTGTACCAAGAGTGGAGGAAGACGCACCACCGAGTGAAATTGCTCACACCGCGACCCACTGGCCTGCCTGCCTGCCAGAACCCCTTACTGGGCCCTCGCCAGCCAAGCAAGCGGCTTTCTTCAGAGACTGTAGTCTGATAGGTATGTGAGGAAACTTTCAGAAATCTTTTTTCAACTATCAACACATGGCGAACTTATGTTCCAACATTGACTGACTATTCTGGGGAAGTCCTCTGGAACTGCCAGGAATTCAAGTCAACAACATGTGATAACCATCTCCTGCAGCCTAAACAGATTGGACTGTAATGTCATGCTGTGACAGGTACATTTGGGTCAAAGTGGTTGAAATAAAACATGTACTTGTGGTTTATCAGATAAAATAGTTAACAAGCTTGCGCATGTATAGCAACTAATAAGGGTATATGGTTTACTACTTTTTGGGTCTTTCAGTAAAGTCACGTAGAAAGAAAAATAATAAAAATCACGACGTTTCAATCGCAACACAAGCAATCGTCTTCAGGTGTATTTTTTCACCTGAAGATGATTGCGTGTGTTGCGATCGAAACGTCGTGATTTTTCTTATTCTTTTTTACCGAAAGACCCAAAGAGTATGAATTCCTGCAGTCACGAAAGCTGTAAGTCAAGATTTATATGGTTTACTTTTAAATGTTACCAGAAGTAGCAATTAAGTTTTCCATAATGGCTGACAGTAATATTTAAGTTTATTATTTGAAATATAACAAGTCAAACAAAATTGTGGAATAAAATGCTCAATGTAGTCATAAGCATATCAGACCGAAAATTAGAATTTTATAAAATATATATAAACATTTGCTTTTTTTAAAAGCCTTCAAAAATCTTTTCCCTATATCATTGTGGCTTTACATAGAAGTACATAAAAGTTATATTAACATATTTTGGGAAGTACAGTAAATGTGTAACTGCAAATGTATATTTTGTATTGCATTGTTTAGACTGCATTTATCATTTATCAACTTGTGATCTTTAATACTTGGCCAAGCATTTTTTTAATGAACATTTTAAATATAACCAACATAAACCAGGAACAGCAGTTAACTATAAATTAAGCATTTAAAAGAATGCAAAAATACAGAAATCAAATAATTAATGTTTGATACAAAAAATCGTTTCAACATTGTATCAATGAGCATTACCATTTGTACATTTTAAGGTAAAACATTGGCACTCGTAAAGTTTTGTAATCTTTTAATATTTGCAATGTTTGGAATTTCTTAATTCTGCTGGACCAATGGGATAAACCTGCTTGCACATCAGCCCATTGACAAAACCGGTCAGTTCTGCATTGCAATAGTGAAATGAGTTAATATTCTATTCAAATACATTTGTCCAACTTCATTACATTTTGACAAATTAAAATTCCATAGAACAAAATGGCACATATGTTTACAGTAGCTGGAAATGTCAGCATCCCTAAGTATTTGTGACAGGGTTAAATATAAGTTAATAAGAGGGATTATTTGGATAAAGCCACTAAATTTGAGGTGGCTTGATCGCTTGGGTCAAGAGCACTAGGTTGGGCACTGCTGGGTTTGTTTATAGGCAGCTACCTGTGATTAAACCACGTTCAAGTGCAGAGTTCATGGTCTTAGTCCAATCACTGCATAAAAAATGATTAAAATGAAAGCTTGGTTTTGCACTTAATTTTGCTAAATTCCAACCAGAAAATAAAAATATTTGGTTTGTCATGTGGTCAACAGAGTATCTTTGTAGCAGGGTATGTGGAAAAGTGCTGCCCCCTAAAGGTCACTTAGAATAAATTCTGTAGTATCTCCTTTCGGACCAATCTCTTAACATTGAATTACGTTGTTCTACAAGCGGTCTTAATATTTCTGATTAACAGAACTGGTTTAAGTCCAGAAAAAGAAAACAAACATAAAGCACCAAGTTACTTTGTTTAGTTATGAGGAGATTGAAGACAAAATTAGGCATATTAAGCAAATTGACTGCTCAACGTCTGGGACAAGTGTTTTCCACTGGACCACGTGATTTAAGGAATGTTGCCTCCATTGATTATTGCTAATTTTTAGCAATCAAAAGTTATGAAATAACAAAATATCCATGTTTAAAATCTATGCATGTTGTACATTAATGCAGATGCTAGTACATTTTGCGTAATATCTTATTAAAATGCAATGAGAAACAGACAATGTATTATACGCATAACAGTTGTGGAAAGTTTAAATAAAAATCCGTGACTTTTTTTGCAATTTTAAATATTGTCACATGAGTTGGAGTAAACTTTGCTTGTATTGTGTTTTGCCACTGCAAACTAAAATGATAATAAATTCTGCTGTGTGAATTTACCAAAATTGATCATGGCTTTGTTGGTGAAGTAAACGTTTAGCCACCGGTATAAATAAAAAACAAAATCAAGATTCCATTACAAAAAATGTTTATTAGAAACATGCTTTAGAAAAGTTGACAAAACCCTCAAAGTCCACCCAATACTTTCTTGCTCCCTTTGGCATGCATTCTTTATGAATCAACTAACCACAGACCATTGATACATGCTTATTTTTACCTTAAAAAAATAAAGCCATTAAAATACTGCAAGAAAAATATTCCAGAAAACACCAAGCTTAAAACACCCTTAGTTTTAGAACCTTTTCCAAAAGTACAAAACCATACACATTGGTATGCTTGAAACACATTCTCAATACCTAAAAAGGAATATAGCAACCTTTTTTTTTTACAAAGCACCAGATCTAAACTTGTGCTCAAGGCAACTCCAGTAGGGTTGTTCAGCTGTGGTTGGTGATGGCTCAGTAGTTGTGTACAGCCAGATGCCCCTCCGACATTGCCATTTCCTCAATGTAGAGATATGCAATGTGTTTTATAATTAGCGAAGACTGGTAAAAAAATGCACGTTTTGAACCTTCCCATTCCCTTCACTCAATAGTAACAGCAAGTCTTAAAAGCCATTCCTCCCTTAATGTGTATCATCGAGGAAGGAAAGACATCTGTATGGTAATCACTTTGTAATCAAGCTCCAAACCTTTGAAATACATTTTCATTAAAAGGTGGCACATTTGTGAAAGTGTGTTTGAACACTAAGAGCTATCAGTGTCAAAAACATTGCCCATTAATTCATCAGTGGCAATGGCATATAGTGGTCCATTCTTTTTAAACAAAAAAAACTAAGGTATTTGAAGAAATTCCTTGTACAAATCACATGCAAAATGTCCAGTAAAAATTGGGCTCAGCCTGCTTTAAACACTTGTTTAAAGAGGGGACCATTAACACGTAAAAAACCCAACAGATTTACTTCTGTTGCATGAGTAAAATCAAACACTCCAAGTGGTGTTGCCAGTGTCATGTAAACTCCAATTCATGTTATTATTTGTGCAAAAAAAAATCTATAACAAAAATTTGTATCATTCAAAACATTGCTGTGCTGTAATAAAATGTGCACCCACATTAAGTGTAATGTTGAGTGTACTTTTCTCACCTTTGGTAGTGTTTACAAATAATGGCTTTAGAAAACTTAAAAGCAAAGCAACATATGCGATAAGTAAAAAAATTGACCTTAAAGACAATTCAAAGGCAGTGTATATTGGAGGTCAGCTTTTTAACTAACACCTCTGAAGACCATATCACATGATTATACACCTTTTCGAGGATGTGCTTTCAACCTGTAAAACAAAACATTTTCATTAGTTTCCCTTTGTATGGTATTTTAATACAGAACAACCATGGAGCATTGGCAGGTTTGTGCACATGCATTGCGTGGTGTCCAAATATTACCCTAAACTTACATGATTCATATTGAGAACTTGATTTGCTAATAGTTTAGTTAAATTGAGGTACACTAATATCGATACATTCAGAGCTATTCTATAATTGGATATCAACACTTAAACATTTTTAAAATGCTAAAATATACATAGCACTTCCTAACTTACAGCCTGAATTCAAATGTTTGTAAGTAATATACCTATATACATGTAATCTAAATTGAAGTCCAATCAATTGGAGATTATCCTATCCAACCACTATCGCCACAATCAGCAAGGTTGTTGCATGTTGATGCAAGCCAGCAGTTATCCAATCAGTAAGCGCATTAGTCACATGACCAGTGTCTGAGTTTGTGCATGTGTGTAGGTGTGTGTAAAGACAAAAATCCCCCATATAGCCTGTAACAGACTTGGGGCAAGGCCGGCACGGCACACGAGGGGGGGTGCGTGGCAAACACCACACCCGATCGCTTTTGTCTCCCTCGTGGTGATGTTTACATACCGCACTAGGTACTAATTTGAGGCCGAGTCGACCTAGGTGAGGCCCAGGACCAGTTCAGATAATCGTCACTAGTGTTCGCCCTGAGCGGGAATCGAACCCGGGTGGCCAGGTTCTTAGCACAGCGCGCTAACTGCTACACTACCGCTCTTTGTATGTAAGTGGAGGAGCGTCATGAACGATGCTACTGGGCAGTTGAAGGCAGTCGCCCTCCAGCAATAACGGAGGGCATAAGAGTAACGCTTACTACGAGTGGAGTGCAGGGCGGCTAAAACAAATCAAGTTGGCAGAGTGGGGAGCACAGTTGGTGCATTTATCAATCGTCTCAGTCAATCCAAGGCACCTGGGTTTGGTCCGTGACCTACTGTGAGCCCAACACTTCACATGGCCTCAAAATGCACCTTGCCTGGCGCAAGTGCCGTGGTGACGTCACTGCCACGAGTGACAACAGGTGGATGTATAGTGGGGAGTGGTGGCGCAGTGGTTAGCACACTACACTGCAAACAGACTCCTGTTCACAACCAACAATGTTGGATATTTGAACCGATCCTGGGCCTCCCCTAGGTCGACTCAGCCTTAAGTGAGTACCTGATGCAGTAAACATCGGCACTGGGGAGATAAAGGCGGCCAGGTCGGGGTGTTGGCCTACACTTCCACTCGTGTACCGTGTTGGCCTTCATAGATGCTCGCGAACAGCACTTGCTCCAACAGTTTGTTAAAAAGCTATACAGGGTACTTTGTCTTTCTACATATGATTGATGTGTGCTTTTTGCATATTATTTGTGTATTGTTGGGTGTGTGATCAATGAACTTGTGTGCATGTTTTATTTATGCATGTGGTAGGTGTGGAAATGTGCAGGTGTCTTTCTATTTTCCTGACTCAGACCATCCTTTACAGTATTCCAATTGAATGTAGTCCATCCTGTAGCATAATTCTTTACCTTGGGTGCAATCCAGTGAGTACATCCCTATTATTAATATATATAAAATTGCAAGTATACCAAGACGATAAAGCATTGTTTTTGGGGTACTGGAATGTTCTTCTACATTCGATGTTATTTGTATAGTACGCAACCTTGTACTACTCAATCTACAAAATTACCAATGATGCAAAAATACATGAAATGCATTTTAGTCATTAACATTAGACTAGTCATGTATTTGAACGAATGTCTAAATGACCAGAGGAGAGTGATTTGTTTTTTTAATCAAGATATACTAGATGTCTGCACACTATTTACAGCTCTGCTGCGAAAAAAGACTTGGGTCAGATTTTTTTAATTATCCCACATAAGTGATGAGTATTTAATATGCTGGACCAAGGCAACTAATATGTTTTGGATGTTAATTCTGCAATGCGCCTCATTTTTATAATTTTTTTAATGTTCCTTTTTTAAAATTTGGTGAACCTAACATTTACAAGTGGATAGCATGCACACTTTACATTTTATCCATGCAGTTTACACACCTCATGAAATTGTACATTTCAAACAGGAATGGATCATGCAGGGAACATTTCTCACATCACAACGCATGCACAAGATTGTCAACACTACCTTCTTTTGAAAGGAAACCTGGCAAGGAAAATTAATCAGCAAATGACGCAGCATTTTCTCCTCTTTGCCTGTGTATAATAAAGAGAGCATGAAACGTGGAAATAAGACCAAAAACAGAGATAGAATAAGAAATTAGAGCTGCTAAGGTAGAAGACGAAATGAAAAAAGAATGCAGAAGAAAAATGTACAGGCTGACAGATCTTTTGAAGTGCATTTGTCAGACATCAGTAGTGAAGGTTTAGATGTCATTCAATCAGCCACATATTTTACAAGCAGAAACAAAAAAATAGTATTCCATATGTAAATAATTTACAGAAGCGTTAGGTTCTGGAGATGCAAACCTGATATTGAAGAGGCTCTTCTCTTGTGTACTGCATCACTTCCTCATCGGGTTTATCTGCCACTTTACTAGATCGCACCACATTCCGCACAGCAACTTCCTAAGAAGGGTAAAGCACCAGTTCAGGGAAGGATTAAGATATTTTCACAAAGAACAGAGGTAAACCCACAAAAGAGATGTAAAGTAATAAACAGTGCCACAGCCTTTATCGACTAATTTTGACAATTTTCCGAACAATGTAGTGCAGGTGTGTTATTTCCAGTAAAAAAAAACATCAAATTGTATGTCTGCATTATGACTTCAGCTAGGCACGCATCAATTAGTTTCCCCCGCATTCCATTCACCTTCCTCCATCATGTATGTTTAAATTCTTTTGAAGCAAACATAGCCAACCGTACTAATCGCAGGTGCGGGGGAAGCGCAACAAACTAAACACAAAAAGTAGTTCTCAAGAAATGAGTTTTCAATCTATATTTAAAAGTGCATAGCTTCCTAATATCGGAAGAGCAATTCCAGACGGCTGCAGAAGCACATCTAATTGTGCACGATGCAGTGACTGTCTTTGTTCAATGGCCAGCCAAAAGCCACTGCAAGGATGACTGGAGTTAGCATAATGGTTTATGCTCCTTGACGAGATTAGTGAATAATCAATTCATTATTCAATTAATTTGTCTCGTTTGTATACTCATCTGTTCAGCACACTTGTAATTTTCTTCATTGAATTGGCTTCAGATAATATTAACATATCAAATGAATGTTGTTCACCTCAATATTTGAAAGATAATTTCTCATGTGAACAATTTGATGGATGTATTGTAAGTAAAATAATTCATGTTAATTGATTAATCGATGCATTGTTGCATGTCTAATAGTAAACAACCTCCGATTAGCACGGTTGGCTATGTCCGGTGTGAAAGAAGTTTAACATACAACAGTGCCTGCAGTTTTTTGTACCCAAGACAATTCCTTACCTCTCCATCAGAGTTAAGAAGTGAGGTTCGAATGTCGTCTCCGGTACCCCAAGAGCTTTGCGTTTTCCAAAGTAGGTCTGATGGTGGGTTGTGCGATACCCCAGCATTGGCTGCCCAAATCTGACATGCAATTCATTCAAGCACAAGTGAAACATTTACATATAATCACGTAATCCTGTATAGTGCATGGAGGTAATGAGAAATACACTTCGAACTATTGGCATATCCTAGAATCTACATTCATCCAGAATATAAATGTGAACATTCTATTTATTTTCTACCACTTTGCAGGAAGGTGACTCCTGTTCTTTACAGATAAGTGCAAATATGATTGAGTACTTACAGATCAAGTCCAGGTGAATCATTCACGAACGTGTGGATATAATAGGATTTTCCACAGCTGTTTTCAGAAGCATTTACAAATAGGATAAGCGAATTATGTCACTGTAGTTAAATGTAACACTGACCGTCACAGTTTGTCCTGCTTTAAGAACATAACGAGAAGAAAACTTATAAGCAATCTCAGCTTGATCTTCAATTTGCCTCTTCAGCACCCAGCCTCCGAGTGGTTGATCCTGAACACCGTTTGAGGAATAAAAATATTTCAACACAAAATAACATGAAAGAAACAATTAAACAACTTTACTGCAATTAACTTCCATCAGATCTTACATCTGGCAACGATCACCTCCACAACATGAATGTAAATTTGTCATGAGAAAGACACCACATCAATATGCCGAGTCACACCTTTTCAGAGTTGTTAACCATCGTCACAGACTTCCCCTCCATGTCGACCTCTTTGATGCCGATGCTGCCGCTTGCCGAAGCATGCTGTGACACGCTTCGTTGGCTTTGCGCCATCGAATCCACGAAGCTCTCCAGCTGCACTCGCTTTCTCTTCCCTGGCATGGTTCGTATGCTATGGCTGGAAGATGTCGACGTCTGCACCACCGAGCTCTGGACCCCCTTTCCAGGAGATAGATTCAACCTGTAAACATAAGCATTTATCTTTCAAAGATTATTCAGATAAGGCATGTATGAAATATACATAGAGTAATGAATGTAACAAAGATCAAATATGGTGTCAGGATTAAAATGTTTGTCATTGTAATGGTCTGCCAAAAGAAGCTTAAAAAACTGATAAGATACAAGACTAACTGCAAGCAGTGTTATCATTGTTCTTACAAAAATGTATTTCATTCAACCTTTACTCCAATTAAACGGCCAAACAGAATGACATGAGATGGGCTTATCTACAGGAGATTCGTATCAATACAAGTTAACCACCTGTATGCTAATTAATATAGTATACCCAATTTATTATTGCAAAAAAAGCACAATATGTTCCAAAGCGATGGTCAGCATTATTACAATTGTTTTCTCAATGGCTCAGCTTCACTCAAAGCACATCACCTGGACTCCTCTCCCTCCAGAAGCTTGCGATAGGCAGCAATCTCCATGTCCAGGGCCAGCTTGATGTCAAGCAGCTGCTCATACTCGATGAGCTGCTCATCCATGGACTCCCGGAGCTCTGCCAACTCACGGTCACTCTCATCCAGACGACGTTTGCTCTGGTCGCGCTCGTGGCTCAGCGTCTCCTCAAGCTCCCGCACACGGCCTTGCAGCAATGCCAACTGCAATGCAGCAAGCACAAAGCCACATTGTATTTGGTATGCAATCATTTCCTTGCCTGCCTAGTAATTATCCCAAAGGCCCCTTTTGCTCTGGCGCCTCGAGATGTACTGCATGACAATGACAGCAGAGGCGTATCTCGCTTGATGAGCGAGATAGGTTCCGTGAAAATTGCTCGGTAAGCAAAAACTCGTTAAACGATAATTTTTTAATTGACTCCCAATTAAAAGCTAAGTTTCGTTTCAGCCCCAACATTGTCCACTCTCGAACAACTTTTTGAACATGAGAAATACAAATAATAATTTAAGAAAAGTAATAAAATATCAAATGTAAAACTTACTACACATGAAGAACCAGTGCTTGCAGATGCCCAACCTCAGCATTTACAATTAATTAGCGCCCCCCCACCACACCCATTAGAGCCACCACAAACCCCCCCTCCCCCACAGCCAAACACGTGGGCACGCAGAACAGCACAACTGGTAAACAGCTGTGTCCTGCGTGCACCCCCAGTCGCAAACAATTTGTCCGAAATTAAAATTTATCGTTAGAGCAAACTATCGTCAGAAGAACGCTCGTTAAGCGAGACATGCCTGTTTAAATATTAAATGATACAGCTCCAGTTGCGATAATTGATTCTCCACGTTCGATTAAAGGTATGGAGCAAAATAAACTATTTAAATCGATGAATTGTTGCATGATAAATTAAACACTTTAAGTTCAGATTTTACAACCATATGTCTCATGACAGGGAAACATGGTCTGTCGTTAAGATGTGAAAATGGAATGATGAGATCAGCTCGTGTAGAGGAGCTTAAATGGATTGTTGTACAGAAAAATCACGAGACATAGCGAGGGATTTGAAGCATCTCCAAGTGGCTAGATTATGGCTCTTGATGATACTTAGTGGTTGAAAGTTCAAACAGATTACCATAAAAACCTGCAGCTTTGTGGTATGTGGGAGAGCTCACATCGTGCTGGGCTGCAGAGAGTTGTGAAGACAGTGTGCCAACGCGGCTGGTCGCCTCTCGAAGATCTTCGCGAATACTGACATCCAGGCTTTGTTTTTCAGGAGTCAAAATGGATTTCTCCAACTGCATCCAACATTTGTGCCTTTAAATGTTACCACTTGCACAATATAACTGCATAACAGACTTAATGGAACAAATACATGACTGCCTTTCTTAAAACTCAACTTGCATTTTTAGCGTTCATACAAGTACTAAAGTAATTTCAATGTAATATCACTTATGTTAAATGTAAAATACCTTTAAATATTTAATACCTGTTCTGTACCTCCTTGCTGTTCACAACTCTGATCTTACACTTCCTGCAACTAACATCGACATCAGCCTTTCTCTCCTGGCAGGGACGAAGAAACTCAAATTCCTCGTTTACTTTCAGCTGTCATTGAGAAACACGGTTTACTATTACAATTGCCTCCTACATAATATTACATGATTCTTTCGGTAAAGTCACGTAGACAGAAGAAAACAATTATAATAAAATAATAAAAATTAAGTGAATAAAAAATATCACGACATTTCGATCGCAACACAAGTGGTCGTCATCAGGAACAGGGAGGTTAGCCTCTGAGGGCAAGCTGTTTATAAATGTTTCGAGATGGGCAGGGCAGCTAATGTTAATGCAGGAGAGGTCTCCGACATCGGCAGTAGGTCTACACAAATCAAAGCATTGCACCTCGCTCCACACACCCACACTGCTGACGGTGGTGGACAAGAAAACACAAATCAAGTCATGACCCAAAGTGGTTGATGACATCTTTCCAATGATTGCTGGGTTTAAAACCGTCGTCTCGGTTGAAATCGAAACGTGATATTTTTATTATTTTTTTTATTTACTTTATTTTCATTTTTGTTATTTGATTGTTATTATTTTTTATATCTATGTGACTTTACCGAAAGAACCATAGAATATGAATTCCTGCAGTCACGAAAGTTTAGTAAAAAAATCCTACGTAATAGTTAATAAGATATGTAACACTATGGGAACCTCATTTGCCAGTAAAAATATGATAATTGGTTCTTTACCCTTCTATCTGGCAACAAAACTGACACCTTTTTACAAGGAGTCATGTTTGCATAGACCGCAATACCTGCAGTCATAATACAAACAAAAGAACATAACTCTGATAATGTGCACTGTCCTTGAAGTTGATTGGTCCACACCCGAGACAGCTTTCCTTTGAGCCTAGTCTCATATGGGTTGGACCAGATGACGCCAAAAGGCGCACAACTCAAGGACAATGCACCATCAGAGTATGAGAGCTCGGGGCAAGCATCTACACTATGGGAACCTCATTTGCAATTTACTGGCAATACTCTGATGGTGTATTATGACTGCAGGTATTGCGGTCTATGCAAACATGACTCCTTGTAAAAAGGTGTCAGTTTTGTTGCCAGATAGAAGGGTAAAGAACCAATTATCAAGATATGTAACACATAACTATATTTTCCAAGGGTCAATTCTAAATGCATATTTTGCATGGCTACTTGTTTTTTTTACAATAATGCCAAGTTAAACTAATTCTATGTAACGTACATAACTTTTAAAAACTTGAAATACAACTCAGGTCTCAATAATATGGTTCTACAGTTGGCCAGGATGCCAAGCATTATCAACTATTTGGCCAGTTATGAATAAAATGCAACATAAGTGGAACGAACATGCAGCACTTATGACATTTAGCCAAAAACAGAGATTCTATTTAGTTCACTGGCTACAACCTTTTTTGGCTTGGCAGGCCCTTGTTTCACATACTAAATACATAAATACATTTTCCACATCAGAATTCGTGATAAACAAATTCACATTTTATAAAGAGAATGCACGAACATGTCTTACTTTAGTTAAGAATGCATTACGAATGTGATATAAAAATGTATGCTTCTATAAAATGCATACTGTTCACGGGCTTTAAAAGTACAGCATTTTATTTAAAACCATTTTTACCATTCCTTTATTAGGTACACACTTGAGAAGAAATGAGAACTGCTGACCATTTTTATCAGCACAACATCAACAAATGAGAGCAGCTGTTGGTACCTTGGCACGCATGGTTTGGTCCAGTTCCTGACGGTACAGTTGTACCTGCTCTTCATGTTGCTGCCTAAGCTCAGTGAGCGCCTCTGACAGCTTATACTCAAACTCCTGCTGTTGACCGCCATCAATCTCCAACACATGGGTCTCTCTCTTGCTGCGTGACTCATGAATCTCCTGTTGATAAAAAAACAGGCGATAGGACTTCATTTTTCTAAAATCTAAAGTTGAGACACAAAATAAGTAATATTATATAACTAGTGTATATGTAGGGTGACTGCGAATGTAAATACTGAAATCATTTTTTAATATTCTATTTAACAAGTGGAACATTTGGAATCAAGCAAGGAGATCATAGTCATCACCAATTGCATTTCTAAATTTAACAGCAAGTAATACGTTATTATTGAAAACAAAATTACATCAGAAAATAAAAATACGACCCTTTACCAGAATTCCATGAGTGTTTCTCAAGTAGTAATGATCAACCACTATACGTTCACATGACTGCATACTGGCAGTTAGTCATTATTTGTATGAAAATAAGGCTACAGCGTTGAAAGCATTTTATAAACCTGTTCATGAATGCGTTTTGTAAATTCCAGCTCCTCTTGAAGAGTCAGCATGCGGTTCTCCAAATCCACACGAGCCAAGGTCTCCTCCTCCAACTGTTGCTTGGATGACACTAGTACACCCTCCAGCTGGTTGACCAGACACAATAAACATCAACCATTATTAAACATCAAGATACACTCACAACGTGATCCCTTTCACACATTTAAACAACCATTGTTGATAACAGTGGGCCATATATTGAAACAATTGCAATGATGAACTTTAATTAAATTATTTGCAGGAAACATAAATACCCATTACATCCTTTGGCTATCGTCTAGAGAACATGGCACATTCAACATAAATAATTGATATCGTGCAGTGAAATTACATTTTTAAGCTGAAGCAGCAGCACAAGTACTGCATTGTGGTTAAACAAGGTGGGTTTGACATCACAGGGGATGGCTATTTACTTATAGGTTAAACGATGCATCTTCCTCTACAGAATCTGAAATTACACATTACCAATAAATCAAAATAATTTTCACGGAGCAAAAAGTTTGACGCTCAAGCTAGGAATGTGGTCTTCTCAATCAAATTCTGACATTTATGCTTTTTGGTAAGAATAGAGAGATGAATGTGTGTTAGAGGACAAATGATGAGTACATAAAGCAAATTGATTAAGAAAAAATAGAATTCACAATTTGTGTGGTAGTTTATGGCTACAGCTACAAGCCACACCTTGCATCGTGCAGCTGATGATGCCAATGACGTCATCAGCCCTTCCCCATTACCTCCCATCCAGGGTCATATATGGGATCAGGTGATAATTTTTCAGCAACATTTTTTGTGTATTCTGATTAGATGAGTAACCGAACCAAAAATCGGTAGAATGATCAGTTACTCAAGTAACTTAAACCTACTTAAGTAACTTAAACCTACTTAAGTAACTTGATAGTGCAACTCTCAATTTAAACAGCATTCGAAGTGGTGACGAAATATTTGAAATATAAAGACAAAGATTAAAATATCTGTACCTTGTTTAACTGATTTCTAAGATCATCAACCTCTGTTTGTAAATATTCCTTATCCCCTGATGCTGTACTCAAAGAAGCTTCCTTTGCACAGAGTTGTACTTCCATGTCCCGAATACGGCCTAGGGCAACATTCCATTCTTGTTCATACTTGCTGCACCTGAAAAACAGCACAAAGGTAGGACATTAAGTACTACACATATATTTGGCTTGTATTCCTTCTCACCCAAATTAACCAAATGTAATCTTTAGAAACAACTCACGTTTCATAACCAAACATATCCGTCATTTAACTTTTTTTCCCAGGTGATATATGCATTTAAACTTGCAAAAAACACACACCAGTGTATATGCAACTTCAAAGTTTCTAACTGTGTTATATAATATTTGCTGGCAGCTGACGAGCATTCAATCAAGCAAGCCTGGACTGATGATGAGACACCATGTTGAAACCGGTCCAGTTTGCTCGTCTTGAATACATAGAAGAGCGTGCAGATAATGGGTTGTGTAAGAAATAACTTTATGTGGAGAGTCCGATATATGAAGGAGATAGTCTGCTTATCTATCTTGTTTTATAATCGTTGTGATATGGTAAAGTTTTGACATGTTTATATTTTTTTAACACTTAATAATCTGAGCGGCAAAAGCTTTCAAAATCTTTAAATGCTGGTTATTAATCTTCACGTGTAGTGGAGGTTAACCATCAATACATATGTTTTATCTCATGGCTGTGAAATAGGGTCACTGTTAAAACTCTTTACATTCTTGTTGCTGATGAAAACTCGGGGCTCCTTAGCAAATGCCAACATTTCCAAACACTATCTCGGGTTGTCATAACAACCGCATAAAAAAAAATCCTGGCAAATAGATACGATTGCCAAAGTGGAAAGAGCGGTTTGTATTCTCCATCACATGAAGAGGTAGGCGTGGCTATAGCAGTTTGTACGACTGCAAGAGAAAAAAAACACCTTTCCCCACAAAAATGTGTATGTGTGGGTGTTTTTGTTACATTTTATCATTGCAAGCTGTCGGTTTTGCTTAACTTGCTGAGCCTAGTATAGCACAGCAGAATACATTTAATCACTTTTCTTCGCTTATATAACAGCTAATAGATTAATTTTGTTTTTTTTATTTTAATAGGAGATGAAACATAAGCATTAAGACAGATTGAAACATGGTATCTTGTGCAAGGGCGACTTGGGTGACATGCACAATCTTAAGACTTAACGCTCAAAAAAAGCACTCGCTGAAAGTTGTATCCACAAAACTACATCTCTCATTTAATTACCATTCAACAAAAAAATCACATAGTTGTATATTTTGCAGTATTTCCACTGCCAGCAGTTTCTCCTTGTGCCGAGTTTCTGTACACAATAATAGGAATTAAAATGGGATTGGGAGATTGTCGATGTACCCTTCCGCTTTCATGAACATTTGTTTATGGACGAGCGCAGTTATACAATTCAGACGGTATTAATTCCAGTTTGAAAGAGCATTGCCAGGAAAAATTATGGCAGAGACATGCAATAAATAACGTTCTCAAAACTAGGCATACGCATTTACAACAGCGGAGGTGTTTTTTTAAGTGTTTTCATTTATAGTCAACCTTTCAACATTCTGTAACAAATCCTGCTTAACATAATACAAGCTTAAATTAGACATTAGCCACATCTAAACTATAATTCATAATCGCAACCTCAAACCATGTTCATAACTATGGTCATATAACCTCAAGTAAATAATTACAATGTACGTACAGTACCCTTAATTAAAATAAACATCAGCATCTATCACATTCAGCTGTACAATTAGATTTTTATATACCGTGATTATGGGCTAAACGTGTGCACTAATAAAACTTGATCAAATTTTACTGTACTGCAGTACGTATTTGTTTATGCCTATACGATCTACAGTATTATTTTTTATATGAAAAACAAATTCGTGAGTAAATGAAGAAACGCTGCAGACTAGTCAAACAAAATACTACGGCAAACTTGCATACATTCGTAATGCATTCGAAAAATAAATGGCCAAGTGCGTTTGGATCACTTTGTCCACATAACTCTGTCAAGCAAACCCAGCCACCTACTCAAACCCGTGCAATTATCCACAAAACCAAGAAACCCAGCTAACTTTCCACTCAAATCCCACTCATTATCCACAAAACTCAGAACCCAAGCTACCGTTCCACTCAAACCTAACCCATTAGCCACAAAACCCAGAAACCAAGCTACCATTTCACTCAAACCCAACTCATTACCCACAAAATTCAGCGGCTTTTCCTATCAAAACCAGCCAATGCCCATTAAGTTTAAAACTCAGTTCATCAATCCAGAAACGCCTTTACACAAAATCCAGACGAACTTTTCCCGATTAAAACTTTTCTACCGTCTCATAAACTTTACATTAGCTACTATAACCTATGGCATTTGTTTTTATTACCAGGAAAGGCCCACTGAGCTGCATATCTCTTTATAAGAAGCGACCTGGCCACAAATTATAGCTCAACGAAGTGGCTTTTCTTGTAGAAATTTACAGCAGCCAAGCACACAAATTAACCGCGAGGTCACCACAACGCATGTGCCAGGCCACGTGCACTCCGAGGCCACGTTAAGTTGTCGCTGACAATTCACGGGACAGATCCGAGGCTACGATGGCTTGACCGAGGTGACTGGCAGATTTCACCACCCGTGCCCCCCCTACTGCTAGCTGCATTTAGCTGCGCTAAACCCAACTACTTGCACCACCTGTTATTTATTATTTTATTTCTATTATTATATCTATTATTTTTATTTTTTTATTATTTTCATTATTTTAACTTTTTATTTTTACCTACGTGACTTTACCGAAAAAAAACCTAAGAGTATGAATCCTTGCAGTCACGAAAGCTTCAAATCTAGAATAAAACCACCTGTGTCACCTACCACTCCCCTCCGTACCCTTCTCATGAAACCCAACCACATGTTTTGCACCACACCCACCCACCCAACCTGGTCCCATGCACTTTATCCACCAAACCACGTTCCCACCGCGTTTCCACCACGTTCCCAGCACGTTCCCACCACGTGTCCACACAGTCGCTCCGTTGTCCACCACCTCACCTGCTGTGGCTCTCGTCCCTCTCGACCTGCGCCTGGCGCAGCTGGATCTCGAGGGCCGCCCTGGCTCGCAAGGCGTCGTCCAGGGCGCGCCTCGCCTCCGCCAACTCGGCGTCGTAGGCGGCACGGAGTCCCCCCGTCGCCTCCTGCTGCCGCTCGCTCTGCTGGCGCTGCTCTTCCTCCTCCTCCTCCCACATGGAGACGCGGGCGAGCAGCCGCGCCTTGTCCACCTCCAGGCTGCGGACGCGCTCGATGTAGGCGGCCAGCCTGTCGTTCAGCTCCACCAAGCTCTCCTTCTCCTGCAGCCGCGTCACCCGAGTTGGGCTCAGTAGAGATTTCATCTCGGTTTTCTGCTGCTGCTGCTGTTGATTGTCCTCGTGATCTTGTTGCTGTTGTTGTTGTTGCTGCTGCTGCTTCTGCTGCTGCTTCTTTGCCGGGGTGGCCATCGTCGCCATGGCGCGTTCCGAGCGCGGGAAACTCGCGGGGCCCTCGAGAGAAGTGGGCGGGGCGTAGTGGGGGTGGGCGTGGCATCGAGAGGAGTGGACGGGGCGTAGTTGGGGGCGTGGCCTCGAGAAAAGGGGGCGGGGCGTGGTGGTGGGCGTGGCCTCGAGAGGAGTGGGCGGGGCGTAGTGGGGGGGGCGTGGCAGGGTGGTCACGCGTTTCGCCATCAGCCAATCACAACGTCTCCCGCCCTTTTTTTTACACGTGCGCTAATTTAATTTGTCTTTTATGCGTTTGGTTCTTTCGGTAAAGTCACGTAGAAGGGAAATAATAAAATAATACAAATAAAACATAAAGAACCAAGAGGATAAATCCCTGCAGTCACGAAAGCTTTAAATCGAAATTGTATTTGTCTTTATTTATGTACAGTACGTTGAGCTTCTTTCGCGCCGTACCTAGACAGCCGTGCTTAGCGTAGATGCGGTGATGATATTAATACGCCGTATGTAGTTACTGTATATATAAATTCAATGTATGAGGCGCGGATGCTTAACTACATTTACTGTTGAGTGTTGTGCATCTCCATATACATAATAGGCGTTTCCTGCCATTACCGCTAATAATCGCCTATTTTCTGCTGTATAAGGGCGCAGTGTTGGAAAATGCCTTGGATTTGTAATACCTGCAATGTACACGTTAAACTAGCAGTGGATTGAACATGGTTGATGATAACGATGGCCTGCATACCGTGTCAACACATGCGGTTTTACACGTATTCTTGTACCGAGAAATTAAGTTTTCATGCCCATACGGCGTACAACCATTTCAATATTGGAGAAAAAAATGTCTATTTGTTTGTGTTTCTCCCTAGTGATGGGACTTTGTACGATGAACGTTCAGATGTATAAGGGGGCACGGGGTGACCAGTAAGGTCTGAATTGGTCTGTAATAGGATAGGGCAACTGATAAGGGGTTGACAGGAGCTATGTACGTGTACAGGTCACCTGTACACGTCCTCATTCCACTCGTGGGCGCCGCGGTGGCTACGAGATGTTAACCACCTCGCCTGGTATGCAGGAGGTCGTGGGTTCAACCCCGACCCTGACACCTGTATAGTTTATAGTTTGCGTGTCTCTCTACCTGTGGATTTTTCTCCGGGTCCTCCGGTTTTTCCCTTCCACATTTATAATCAACAAAAGAGCTGTATAGTTCGGTGGACCTGAGCTGGTAAATTAAATATCGTTTATATGACTGGACGTCGATCATCGTACCTTCTAGCGACGTGTACTTTCTCAAGTCCACTTCTCTTAAGTTTTTCAATCGCTGTGTAAATTTACGTCCCTTTGTGTCAATCCACTGCTGGATGAGGGGATCACCTTGGGTTTTGTGACCAATCTCCCTACAACACGGGAAATGCTGGATATGTATAAAATGACACACACCACCAACAGATAAGGGCACTGGTACAGAAATAAAGTGCAAACTGCGATGAACATGCTGAAAAATAATTGATTAAGATGCAGTATTGTGCATTACTATGCGGTTTATAAATTAAGGCGAGAGCGGGGATTCGAACGGTGTTAACATTTTAAAAAACAAGCAATACTAAAGGGTTAGTAACCTTCATTCAGTGGCTTCATTCCATGCATGGCACCTCCGATTAGCGCGGTTGGCTACGTACGGTTGCGAAATAAGTTAACAAAACGCCTAAAGAAGTACTGAATGTCTTTGTATTTTGCTTAGAGGATCTATTTTGTTTATAAATATATGTACAGGGCCAAGTTTGTAGGGGCAACCGTTGTCTTCGCCTGGTTTGCCTCGGGCTCTGTCTTCTGTCTACGCTGCAACCTTTGGGACGGAATTTTCCCCACCCTGACCTGGGTGGGGTCGGTGAATTACCTGCAGCAACATTTAACCGTGCAATGTGTTATACGTACGGTGCGAAAGAAGTCCAACACACATACGTACTACCGTCATTGTCCTGTATTGCAGGAACTACGAATACATATTTAACCACCACTTGAGGTGAGCCCAACATATTGTCCTTTGTTCCGTCTGGAACAATTATAAAGGATGCTTTTCAAGGCTTCTTAAATAATTCAGGGTCTCATCATGTAACACATTTTAATATTCCATTGCTAACAACAGGAAGCTACATACACTACGTGAGCATATTTAGCAGACAGTTTGTTTTCAACTCATTTTATTTCACAATTGTTGTGCTTCAATTGTATAAGCTTTACAGTATGTACTGTCCTTTCAATGCCAGTTTCAAACACAAATGACTCAGTTTAACACGTAGGCTTTCGCGACCAATATCATCCATAACAGAGGTTTTGGGTTAGATCCGCGGATCTAACCCAAAAACCTCTATTATGGACAAATGACTGTATTCAACATTCATATTCAAGTGAAATATTCGTTCAAGGATCAAATGAAATGGCAAAACAAACAATTTCCAATGAGTTAAAAGCCTATGCAGTATCCAATACTGCAAAAGACTGAAAAAAACATTCTGAAATAATAGCTGGAACGCAACACACCTGATCTAAATTCCTTGGAAGTCTTATATTTATTCTTGCTATGCACACGTGGGCAGCATTACACGTGGAAGCAACAACATCAACTCGGCAAGCAAAACAAAAAGCCACGTGTTCTGAAGCCAATGCAGTTGGGGGGGGGGGGGGGGCACGTGGAGACGTTGCCACACACTTCATCTCCACGCCTTGAGCAGAGTCTGGTGGCGAGAGAGCGGAGAGTGGAGGCTGGGTTGGAGAAGGGCAGAGCGCTCCATCGCGAGGCAGAAAGGTGCCTCCACGTAGAAGCCCCCTTGCCCGTGGCAGAGTCTTTGGGCGCGATCAAAGAAGAGGCTTTCTTCGTGAGGCCCCCAGTACAGACCTGCTCTCTTCGCATTCTGCGTACAACAGAGGTTGCACAAATCGCCCGACGATGCTGGATGTAATTACCGGCGAAACGTCGTACTCACATTCTAAATGTTGTGGATTTACTCTCCGCACACACCGGTGGGCTGAAGTAGTAACTAATTGGCGCGTTTTGTGTACGTGACAAACCTTAATGGCTGTGTCGGGTGGTGAAGGGTTACGACACATTTATACTTACGCGATCTAACCAAAAAACTTTTATTATGACCCTTAAGATTGTTGGGTCAAGTGCTGTTAGCGAGCACCTTTGTTTCCCCTGTGGTGATGTTTACACACTGCGCCAGGTACTCATTTGAGGCTGAGTCGACCTAGGGGATGCCCAGGACCGGTTCGAATAATCGTCACCGGTGTTACCGCTTCCCATCAGAGGTGCACACACAAGTTCATATGCTTGAGACTTTTTACCCTTAATTGGCTCTCACATTGTGATGAATAATGGCGTTAATACATACTTTCTGACCTTAATCCATGACCTTTCTGTGAATTATTGTTTGTTTTCTTCCTTTACCTTAACCGTGAATTTCACCAAATGTTACCATGACGAAATTGCAGCCTTACCCATAATTATCCCGCTTTCGAAACTTTATTTGAGCCTCTGGCATTCATGCGGAACTTTTCTCATGCCAAATATGTCTTGGTCTGGCTCTATAAACCTTGGGTATGAACACTGAAACAAACAATCTTAAAGATACCTTAATCAACTTTTGTCAAACTTTATGTATGGGCCAAACATTCCAAATGCAGGATTATCCTAATAAGGTATTGAGATGCAGTGAGGTTTTAAGGCACACTTAAATAAATAAATAAATGGCCATTAAACAGGCAGTGTAAATGTTATTTCTGGCTCTGTTCTACGATTTTGCATCATTTGGTATACGTATTCAGTTTCTATTATGTAACTTGCTCATTACATATGTAAAGTCCTGTAAAATATATATAAACTGTAGAAAATGAACACGAAACAAAACATAAACAATCGGTAAAATATAATCAGAATTTGCCTTGCATTGTAATGTAACAACGCCCCACGTGCCAACCTTTGTGGCGACAGACGCAACTTATCAGGACACATTCTCTGCACCTCGAGGATGAGTGCCCTGTTCTTCATGTCCTGTTTCCACGGCATGACGTATCTCTGGGGCATGAGAGGGTGGCGACTTGTGAACTTGGGCGTGTGCATTTCCACAGAGCTTCGGAAGGAAATTCACAACACACGCACACAAAGGATTAACGATGAAGCCATACAATGCTGCACCTGAAACACGTTTGCGGTGGAGCGGTGACGCAAAACCCTGGCAAATCGTATTTCCTTTGGATTCCCAAAGCCACGACTGGCATCAGTGGTGAGTGATTTCTGAATCGGTCCCGGATCTATCTTCGTTCAACCCGCACTGACCAGCGTGAAGTATTGAAAAAAACAAAAACCCGATTGACTGAAACGGCACAGGGGAGGCCTTCATCCAAGCTGTACATTTTGAATAATGTGTATGACCTTCGGCTCGTGTGCCGGTGCTATGTGAATTGTTAAATCACAGGATAGTGAGAGATGGCAAGGTCTTGAGGATGCCTTCATCCAAGCAGTGGATTGATGGCTACTGCTGGTGCTGATGGTGATGACTTTGCAAGAGCCAAACTCACATTGGCAGTGAATTGTAATAGGGCCGGCAGCTATCCACAAATCTGTCATCGCTCTACAAGACACTGGGGCCCTTCAGGTGAAATATTTATCGCCCGTGTCGACTGCTCCGTATCCGTGTGTCTGCGGGAGGGCACGGTCGGCATAGTGAAGTGATTTTCATAATTTATCATCCGTTTATCGCGTGAAGCAATGTGCTCGTCAAATGTCAACCAATTATTAAGTGGTGATCTGCAGTGTTCCGGTAACGGGTACATGGGGCAAATCCACATCAAAAGTTTGTTAATCGTTCATCACTAGAAGCCACGCGTAGTTAATCTTGAGATTCATGCTTGAATATATATTTACAGTGAGCTTAAACTTTAGGGTAAAGGTGCAGCCCGGCTATAGATTGCTTGTGCCACTGGTGGCCGAAGAGCCTCCACTTGAGGGAGCTCTAGAGAGGATCTCTAGGTAATGTATTTGTCCTATTATTCCACACTAGTCAAGAATCTTGGAAGAGGTGGGAGTAGCTACAATCTACCCGACCACACGCGACCCGTTGATCGATTGTGGTGCAATCATTTATGCCGCTGGGTGGACAGAAGCGATGAGATTTAAGAAACTTGCCCATTTATTCAACTTCCGCGCCCGGAGATCGAACTGGAGGCATCTGGATTGCAAGTTACTGATATATGGGATAGTGCTAAATCAAACCTTTTCTTTTAAAGGACCATCACTATAAACAATTCGCAGCTAATTCTTGTTTGGATTCACGCATGAATATAGCATCTCTTTATAAGTGCTTATTATAATGTATTAGTATTATATACACGCGTTTATAAGTGCTGGGAGATAACATTTTCTACTTGGCTTTGAGGTCGAGCAGTGTTTATCACAGCAACACTTTACACCCAGCCACCTGAATTGGATTCCTGGCCACGGCTAACATCAGTGGCGGGTTCGATCTCTGGACTGGCCCTGCCCGTCCTCACCAACTCACACCGATCAGCATGAAGTATGGTCAAACGACCCATGACCGACACTGCTTGGGCAGGCCTTCATCCAACGGTTGACCATGGCTTTTAATCATGATGATGATAATTATAAATAAATGCGCAGTGATAGACAGACTAAATATATGTCCACATCCTGGATTTTACCAGAGGTAGCGGGATTCAACAGCACGATAATACCAGGCAATAGCAGGCGACAATAGCGCACGGACAGAGAGAAATACGACCGCTTAAGAAACCCAGCGTTGTGTGTGCGAATTTTAAAAAAAATCAGCTCGTCTTACCATCTCGATTTGCTGCGCGCTGTTGCCACGTCGGCCATGCCTTGAGCTTGAGTTGGTAGCAACACGCGCAACGGTGCCAAGGAGGGCCACGGAGTGAGCGGCGTGGTGCTCGTGGAGCCCTGGGACGTGGCTTGGCTTGAGACGCGTGTGGCTCGGTGGAGCGTTGCGTGGACAAAAAAACGCGCGTGGGCTGCCCCCACCACCACCTCCACCACCTCCCCCCCCCTTTAGGACGCATGCACTTATCCCCCTGCTGCCACTCAAAAGCGTTATAAGTAGGGGCTGCCAAACGTTTCGATGTGCCACTTGCGTCTGTCACGGCACGAGACGAGTGGTGGGCACGTTTCAATTTAAATTCACCCGCCTGCTTGCTGTGGAGTACAGCGTGAACATGTATAATCAGGGGTAATGTATAATGCAATTGTATTGCGAGTATAGATGTATAATGCAATTGTATTGCGAGTATAGATACCCCACTGATTAATAATGATGTTACTTCTCAAGAGGTGATTGAATATTGCGACCGCGACGGCTCTGTATCTTATCGATTAAATATTTAACAATGTGTTTTGGGATTGGTAGGAGACATGTAAGATGCTTTGAAGTGTTGTTTTTTCTTAATCTGTGATTTCTGCCAAATTATTTCAGCGCTGCGTCTATCAATGGATCACCCGCTATTTAAGAATTCACAATTGTGTTAAACCTTTTTCACGTTAGGAAGGTTAATTAATATTGCAGTGGTGGCGTTACAATCCAGGAGATGCTATTCATAATTTACAGCCCTTTCTCAGTCCACTGCTAAAAGAGGGCCTCCCACCGTGGCGTGTTGGTCGTGGAGGTTGTTTAGCCATACATCACCACGGCTGGTTAGTATGGGTTGGTGAAGGGGTAGCCCAAGACCGGATGATAGCCGTGGCTGGGATTATAACTCAGGATGCTGGGTTAATGTATACTACCAAAGGACCATTGCCCGAAATGTTAGACAACTTATGTTTATCTAATCTATGTATTAAAACGTACAAGGCAACGTTAATGAAAACGGCTGTGGGGTTTCAAGTTCATCGCTGTCAAGGCTGTCTGTTACTTTTCGTAACTTTACCTACAGATTTGTCAATCCACTGCTGAATGAAGGCGTGTTGGTCATGGGGCCTGTTTGACCATACTTCACCATGATGGTCACTGCGGGTTGGTAATGGAGTGGGGCGGGGGGCAGCACGGGTACAAATTTCACGCTAACAACCCACCCCGACAAGTGTGGTGAAGTATGGTCAAACAACCCCCATGGCTGTATGCGGCGTGGAGAGGCACTCATTCTACAGCGGGGCTTGACAAGATGTGTAACGAAATAATTCTGTGAATTTGCGAACTGATCTGAACAAACACGGTTCATTTAGACTGCGTTGTGTGTGTTTCCGAGTGCCGACAGGATCTCGAGGCCAGTAACAGCACGAATTGTACCACCTAACGTCAACAGCAACCGGCCCATCGTGTATATGCCCAGCATTGTGAGTGAGGCAATAATACGCACACATACCTCTGTTCAAATACCTCTACAGATCGTGTAACGCGCCTAAGGAGCGTGTATTACTATAGAGACTATGTTTGCTTTTTTACATTGCACAGTCAAATTACAAATACCCCGTGTGGCCACGTAAGGTCTCTACACACAATTGTGGAAGAGGTCAAATGCAAACACATACTTTGCACAAAACGACAAGATCCCGGTAATGTGCAGCAAGGTTTGAGTCATAAAAAATAAACACTCACACAAATACCACATTTAGTTAATTGTATTTTGCAAATGTAGTTGTACTGTATGTATTTCAATCTACCGCATTATTGAATAATTTATGCAAGCCCTTTGGATGAATGCCTCCCAACGCCGTCATTCAATCATGAGGGTTGTTAGACCATACTTCAGTGCAGGTTGAAGGCAATGGAGAAGCAGGAAAGGTTCTGATGACTTGCCACTGATGTTAGCTGTTGCCGGGAATTGAACTTAGGGGGTCAGGTTCATGTGTGGTCCAAAAAACATTTCACCACTAACCCTCCACTGCATTCCTAAGCATAACTTAAACCCGGTACCAAGGGGTTATCTCTTTCTATAGAGACTACACTCCACGAAAGGCAAATGATTCAGTTAACTTGTTGGGCGTGGTACATATATTTTAGGTGTCTAGCAACAGACAAATTAAATGAAAACCGCACTTTTTGCCCTGTCCTATGACGTAAAACCAGTCAATCCTTAGCAGGCATGTTTGGGTTTCACACTAACATGTATTTTTTTATCCTATAGTTACAAGCATAGACTAGACTACATTTGTGCAAACAAAATTCCTGCCCTTCGAGAACATTATTATATTTACACAACTTAGCCACAATGTATTTCTGCCAAGTGATGAGAAAACGGTCCTGGAGTTACAATTTTGAAGTCGCCAGTTTGATCTCCCGGTTTCATGGTTAAACAATGGCCACGTTTCTGACATTACCTTCCTCTGTCTACCTAGCAGTATAAATAGGTACACCAGTTAGTCAAAGTCGAATATGGTGGGGTGAATTGTGGGCACTACCATCTCTCCCGAGACGTTCGGCAAATGTAGAAGAGTAGGCCACATATCCTCCAGAGAAACTGATTAGAGATTTCTCTTGTAGATTTCCTTCTGTCAGCAGTAGCATGAGCAAGTCATTGTAGGGCTGCACCTTTACCTGTTACACTAATAATTATTCTCAACGTGTTCTATCCTTTTTGTTTAGAACCGTTCGTTCATAATCGATCTCAAGCCCATTCCATCCTTAGCCCTTTGGGCTCAGAATCCTCCTTGCAGGCCAAGCTCTTCGTCACAAAAACCAGGTGCGCAAATCATCTCCAAGATGAGACATCATGAGACTAACACACGTCTTACGAGCACTGCACAGGGCAAAAAGTTAAACGAAAATACGATTCATATATTGATGTATATATGCCATGCCCTGTCATTACAGTACCTACTTGTAGGTCTACACCCAGTCAAGGTAGACAATACATCTTCCTTCTGTCGGGAACTGACATTAAGTGCAGTCTCTTATGAAACGTGTGCCCCCTGTTAAGGTTTTATGGGAAACGCAATAACGGTTCTTTTTTAAACTTTATTTCACCAGCAGAAGAAAGGATTTCATATGACGGTCCATTTCATGCTCTCAAACGTGGATTCGACCCCGTGCACAGCCAACCTCCACTGCAGTCCTGGCCTCACGAAAGCCCAATCCATGGACTTTGGACAGCACAACCATCATTTTTCCCTTCACCTAGTAAGATTTCAGAGAATTGTGGACACTCAAAAATTATCAAGCCACTAATTCAGTAGATAAGTATTGCTTCGTAGAGGGTTTTAAAGTGGTCTTTGAACATTGCTACCTCTGATCATGAAATGTGATGCATATCCTTCATTTACAGACTTGGAAAGGCAGCATAATGAAATGAAAAAGTTAGAAATGAACCCCTACAACACATCCCCTTGGAATTCGATGGGCCCAGCTTCCAGACCTCCTGCTGGAAAAGACTTTGGTAAGTTTTTTTTAACGAAAAATTAAGTTAGTGTTACCATTGAAAACACAAGAGTAATTAATTATAACTCTGCTCTTTCGTCACTTTCAATCAGCATTGACAATGTATTCTTTATAGGAGAGACCTAAAACATTTTAACTATCAAAAATTGTATATTTTTTATTCAGCACTTCCAAAAACATCCATAAACCTTTGTAGCCTAGGTTCAAAACACTTTTTATTATTAAACGTTTTATCCCAAAATTTTGGGTGCCGAGATTCTATTTTCACTTTCATATCTTAAAATCGAATTTGTTGGATTCAGCATCCTGAAAAACATCCAGATAAAAATCGATGTCTCGGCCTACCTCATAAGAATTGCATCACTCATTTCGTCACACCCATCTGTATAGTAACTTGTTATACTGTTCGGCATCAGATATTAACATATATCTTTGCATTTTTTAGTGTGCTGCCGTTACAAACTATGGAGTGGATGAGAAATTGATGCAGAAGATAAATACATAATATTCCAAAAATCAAATGCTTCAAATTTAGTACATCGCATTATTTATTACAATTTCTAAAACACCTTTCTTTCAGATGTTTTATGACATATACATGTAAATGAACCAAATCGTTAAATACACACCATCCAGGGTTGCCATGATAATCTTTCACAATACAATTACATCAAATTTTACAAGGGTGATTACCGCAATATCAGTTTCCCATAACTATGCAATTGTATTTCACACTGTTGTTGTGTTTTTCTGTACTTCTAGTAATAGTTTCCCATAACTATGCAGTTGTATTTCACACTGTTGTTTGTGCTTCGCTGTACTTCTAGTATGACAAAAGATTACTCTTAGGGTCCTTCAACTGCAGTTCCCTCAATACAAGCAAAACTTAAAACTCATGTGATTACAACTTATAATGCTTACAAGGCATATGCTGTCAGCCACACAATCTTTAAATTAACTACAAAATGTCTTAATCGCCATGCCATGAATTACAGGGAAAATTCGTTTGTAAAATCTCTAACTGGATAATAGCTATTTATCAACAACTTTCATTGAGTTTTGTCTCATTTAACAGGAAATTCAGTATTTAAGAAATATAAAATGAGCATAATTGAACGATACTTTGAAAAAAGGATGATGCGATTATTGAGTCATATATCATACGATATACAAAATGCCAAATCATGGCAACCCTAAAAGAAACATGTTTATACAAATTGATGGATGTGTAATGTTGTTTTATTATGAAAATGTGAACTCATAACTTGAATACTAATACACACTGTAGTATGCATCAAGACACTTCAAATAACAAATGTAACAACAATGGAACATATTTTTTAGCTTTGATCAAACAATGCCTTTATCACCACATTAAAAAAAAAACATGGTTAAATCAATGGTACGCTTGTCATCTAGATACTGACATTCTCGGTATTTTCATTTACCAGTGATACTACCCTCTGCTGCCCCTGCACACTGTTACGGGCAAATGTGTATAATTGTTGCTGAAATGAAAAAATTGTTTGCAAAGGAAACACGACATGAGTCTTGAGGTTACAAGCCTCGGGGGAAACATTGAAGGAGGGTGAAGGAAGGAAAACACAATTACAGGTGGTAAAATATATACACATTTTGAAGCAAGCTTCAGGAAATCTAGTTAGGTTAGAAGAGTTCTAGGTCGTTTGGGTGATCAAGCTCGAGTGAATCGCCTGTGGCAGGGCTTGGAGGCGGTTGTGGAGTTGGAGCGCGCACATCACGGCCGCACACATCTTCCAGAGCAGCCAGCTGAGCTTCGGCGGTGTCGCTGGCAAAGGTCTCGCGTGAAGTGTCATCTTCAGGGTCCTGCAGATCCAGACCCTGAATCGCTCGCTTCATTGAGCGTGCCACTAAATGCTTCCGTCGCTTCAAGGCTGCCTTTTTACTTGCGTAGTCTCGCTGATTTTCCTCGTGGAATATTTCCTGAAAAAATAAAAAAAATATTTATAGTTCGCCAGTCCAATCAAAACGAATTATTACATCATTTCGGATGGTATCTTAATGTTTGGAGATGATATTACATTTCTTACTTTGATTTGTTCCTGGGTGACGCTGGGGGTGCTTTTCATAAGATTCAGATACACTCCTCCAGGGGTTCTTCTTCTGGTGCCATTCTTACAAATGAAAACAAGTCACTCACTTGAATACAAAGTTAGTAATACGAGGTAAGTGATACTGTGCTTATTACACCATAGGACTGAGAGTTAGCAGCGGCTTGGGGAGGCCCTCATCCAGCAGATGATTGATCCTGGCTGATGATGATACTGTAATAAAGAAAACTGTTTTACTTACCACAATCATCAAGCCTCCATTCCGCTCAATTTCAGCAGTTTCATAAAGGAGCTCGAGTGATTTCTTAACACCGATGATGCTCACCACTCTTACAATTAAATCTTCTTTGGCTTCGCGTAACCTTACACCAATAAAAAATACATTAAAAAAAGCATGAACCGAGAGGTCATTGGGTTTATTCATTGTGAGCAATGTCATTTGAGGGCCAACACATTGTGCAGCAAAGTTTACTGTGGCAAGAAAACCAAGTATAAAGTGTCTCACCTGTAAGCAATTTCTTCAGCTATCCTATCAGCTGGATCATCCTCTTTAAGTTCATAGCGACCGACAAAGTCCATTTCAGCCCTCTCACCGAGCCGTTCTTTCACCGGCCTACGCTTCCGCTTTTGAACTCTGGACTGTGCATTTGCTTCATCCTTGAGGTCCTCACTGAGGACAAATCAGATGTATACACACATACATATTAGAAACAATGCCACCTACAGAGCAATACATATATGACAAGCTCAATTAAATATCTAAAATTGTCAATTCCAAGCAGGAAACAGAAATCTAGAATAACATTTTGCAACAGTCTTTTAATCACTAACAATAATTCCACAATTTAAAAATACCAAATATTCCATTTATAAATATGCAAACATAATTTACACGATAATATTTTGAGTCCTAACACATTAAAGAGTCAGTGTGTTTCTCCTATATCCAGTTGATTGCTGTATTGCAACTCAAGTAATATATTATACTAATAAATGTACGGTAAATTGCACTTGAAGTTTATACAAGTCCTCACCACTGCTCCTCAGCCAACTGCATATCCTTGCTCGCAGTGTGCATATAGCCATCCAACTCAGCTTCTAGTTTGAGCAACTCTTGAGTCTCTTCTTTTTGCCGAATCTTTTTTGCCAACATGTAGTTGTAACTTTCAGAATCACGGGTCCTGATGCTCAGGTCTGCCTCCACACCCAGAATACCAATCTCCTGGGCCACAGCATCCTGACATTGTTCCTGAAATTAAGAGGCACAACAATATATCAAGCACAAAAATCTAACTTAAGTGACTGCATTGGCAGTGGTATACAAACACAAATAAAAAAACATCACGAACTCCATTAACATTGTCTTATAACATAAATCCAGAGGTTTTTTTTGGGTTAGATCACGTAAATATGTCGTGAAAACCCGCCACCACCCGACCCGACACAGCCAACTAGTAAGGGTTGTCACGTAAACAGAACTTGGCCAATTCGTCACTAGTACAGCACCACCAGTGTGTTGGAAAGCCAAGCCACAACATTTACAATCTGAGTACGACGTTTCGCCAGTAATTACAACTAGCTTTATTAGGTGATAACCAGATTTGTGGAGAAATCCTCCTGTTTCGTTCCTTAAATAGAGGGATAGATGTGATGGTATCATTTGAGCCCTTCTTGAGCGAAGTGGGGGGAGGTAATGAATGCATATCAGGGTATCCATTGCCGATTGGGTTATTTATATGGTAACCAACGTAAATTATGCATCCGCATTATGCAATACATACATACTGTATATATACTGTATGTATTTATGTATTGCTGCTGTATGTTTCTGGAATACCCTTGCCACTCATCTACAACTTGATTCAGTCCCTTCACTTCCCCTCTTTATAAGCTGTGCGACATCAACCAATTAATAAAAATTGCGAAATTAAAAAGTAAAATCTTTCCTCCATGTTTTCCCATGAAGTTCCACTCTGCGATCGTGCTATTTGATTCCTGTAGTGCAGGGGTGGGGAACGTCCGGCCCGCGGGCCGTATAAGGCCCGCAAAATAATTTTATCTGGCCCTGCCAAGGCAACCGCAGGCGGGACTCGAAATTCAATAAATCTAGGAGCAAACCTGGAAAAGTAGTTGCGAGTAGCAACAACATCAATACCAGCTAACATCACACGCCTCACCAAAGAGAAGCAGTTCCAGCCATCGCATTAGGGGCGAGTTAATTAAATGTTTGACCAAATATAACAGGCTACTTTTGAAGTTGATAAATTTGTATGGCCCGCAAATTATGTTATAAATATCCAAATGGCCCTTGGCAGAAAAAAAATAACCCGTAAAAACAAAGTTTTTCACTATAAATCCTTTATATGCGTGGCGGCTAGAGTCCTCTCGTCCTCTGGCTTGAGATGGCTGCCACCTATGGGTCAGATGATTGCCTGCCACCATTAAGCAATTGGTAATTAAATATAAAAAAAATTCCCTATGAAGTGTAAAGTTATGGAAAATGTTTTTTCATGAAAATAAATTGTCACACATAACGAGTCTGTGTGCAAAATGTCAGCTCGATTGGATCACGGGAAGTGGGTTAAAAAACGACCGAAAGATTTGCACGGTCGTAAGTGCACAAGCAAGCAAGCAAGTGAACTTAATATAAAGGATTTAAAAAAGGTTCCCCACCCCTGCTGTCGTGGGTTATGGGTGCAGTCACAAATTGCCAATAACTGGCAAATTACAGTGATTCGAGGATTGGAACACAAATTATTAGTTTCTCCTGGTTATGCTTTTACCAATAACGTTTTACAACAACATATGAGTTCGTACACAATAAATAAAATGCGTTTTACCTGCAGCACTGCGCCCCAGACGTTGTTCACCTTCCTGGAATTATCTGAAGGGCGGGAAGCCGGGCGAGCCGGTCCCCTGGCTGGGGGAATGGGCTGAGCTACCATCGGAACGGGGGGCCGCTGATTATTGTTCTTCAGCCTTTTTCTCCTCCACAGGCGCTCCTCGTCGTCATCTGAGTCACTGTCGCTATCATTGCTGGAAAAGCCCTTGTTAGTGGCGCGGTACCGAACTGCTGTGTCGATGAGAGGGGGGCACGAGCGGCCCCCTGCAGCACCGGCGTCAAACGTCGCATTGGTGGTGTTGCTGCCTTGAGCGCTGCTGCCCTGTCAGGAATACGCATGAAAGACAAGTTTAAATGTTACATCTTTTAAAAAAAAATTGCAGGTGCAAGCCCATTGAGATTGAACGTCTCCCAAGAGACCTGGGTAAACGAGAACCATACAGACCACGTGTGACAAAAATCATTTTCATCGGTATACAATGTCAAACAACATATTATCCGACATAGTAAATCCAACTTTAGGTACGATGCACCTTTTAAAAACCATGCACGTTGGTATTTGTACAACGAGCACAACTGCCAATTAAAAACTGACCGGGAGGAGGAAATCCGTTCAGATGTGTTCCCATCGTACAAGGAGCAAGTATAACACCGTGTGTTAAAGATACACTGCTGTAGATGAATCCCTGCAGTCACGAAAGCTTTACATCGAAATGCTATCAAGCCCTTTAGAAATCCACTGCTGGACATAGTCCTTCCCGTGACGTGTCGGTCGTGGGGGTTGACCCTACTTCACCACGTCTGGTCAGTAATAGTTGGTGGATGGGGAGGCCCAGGGAAGGTTCTGAACATAACTCCGCCACTTGACGTTCCGCATGGCCAAGTTCACAGTGCAGTGCGTCACTGCTACCCCCCACCACTGCATTCAAGTCCCGTGTAGTATAAATCATGGTAATTACTCTCCTTACGTGTAGCAATGTTTGTACAGTAGTTAAGACTCTACGAGTGAAGCATTGCATGTTTCACTCGTGGAGTCATGTACAGTACCAGTGATTGGCGCCAAACTTAAAGAAAATTTAGAATGTTGGGTGGACCTTGTCCTATATTAGGCGAATCGGTGCTCGCGTCTTTTAGACACATACCGAGCTGGGCTCCGTGTGTGAAGCTTTGTTAATAAGAACAATATATATACGGTACATTAAAGTGACTGCCGCCACCACCGCATGTGATGATAACATTCACTGCAATCACTCCAAAGCCACTGGAGCAACGTTGGCCGTCAAGTCACTTTAAAAACAATATCATTCACGAAGTTTCGAATGTGTTGATTAGGCATGCACAAGACAATAGCCGTTTTGTAAACAACATTGATGCATTGATACAAAACAACGCGAGGCAGCACGCATGGCCACATGGCCTACGATGTTGTTCCAGCCTTCCCCAAACGACACCGAGTGTCAACAAGGCACAGCACAATGCAAATAAACGACGAGACAACGGGTAGTAATTCATATTTACATTGAAGCGATCACGTACAAATCATTTGTATACGTTCGATAGATTAGTCTCCCGGTTCTGAGGGCCCGTGGCCTGATAATCGCGCCCTTCAGTTCAAACGCGACGCGAAACGCGTGCGGCAGTAGCAACGCTTCTGTGAGGCGTCTAACATTAATAACCACGACACATATTTAACACACCCACCCCTCGAGGAGCACACGAGAAGGGCCAGGCACGTACATTGTTAGTTGTTGGCGCCTTGCCGTGGTTCTCGGAGCCGGAGTCCGAGTCGGCGAGCTCCCCCTCCTCGAACTCCACCTCCATGGCCGGAGTCTTCGCGGGGCCCCGTGAGGGCGGCGGGGGGGGGGGGGCTGGAGGGGGGGGGGGCTGGAGGGGGGGGGGCGACTACCGGATATTGACGGGAGACGCCATTGGATGTGACGCGTCACTTCCGGTGCTATGGTTGAGGCGACGAGCCGCCATCTTATGTAGGGGTGTGGGAGGTGGGGGTGTTTGGGGTGTGGGAGGTGGTTTAGGGGGTATGGGGGGTATAAGGGTTGGGTAGTGTAGGGGGTGTGGATGGGTAGTGTAGGGGGGGTGGGTGGTTTGTCGGGGCTGTAGGGGGTAGGGATTGGGTGTGGGGGGGTATAGAGGGTGTGGGGGGGTATAGAGGGTGTGTGGGGGTGTGTAGAGTGTATGGGGGGGGGGCGAGACTTCATACTTCATCACTGGCGTTACGTTGAGTTACCAAATGCCGTCTTATGTAATCGGTGGTGCAGCGGGGGCACCCGAGTTCGATTCCCTCTCACGGCAGGCGATTATATGAGCCGGTCCTGGGCCTCCCCCAGGTCGACTCAGCCTCAAATGAGTATCGGGTGCGGTGTTTAAACATCACCACGGGGGAGACAAAGGCGGCCGGGCGTGGTGCTGGTCACCCACCCCCTCGTGTGCCGTGCCGGCCTTAATAAGTGCTAGCTAACAGCACTTACCCCAACAGTATATTAAGGCTACAGGGGGATCTTTATACATTAATTTGACTAACATTCACCTGCTTACGATAATTAATTTGACTTAAAGAAACCAAGTGAGAGCACATGGGATGCTCAATTCTGTTTTGAAATGAAGACCTGGAGTGTGAAGCACGTACACGTAGTGTATAGACATCTCAGTGAAAAGGTTGACGAACAGTACTGACGCTTATAATTAACACGTGCACAAATTAAACACGAAGTGACAATCGAAATGCTCACACCAATGTGTTCGCGAGAAGAAAGCTCAAATCAATTCAAGTTCATTTATTTCAAGTTCATTTATTAGGTATAGCCCTGTGAGCCACTCGGCGCTTGAATCGGGTGCAACCGTAACAAACATAAAACAAAAACATGAACAAGAAAACATCTTAAAGTGAATATGTGACTAAGTGCAAACAGAAAATCCAAGAAAAGACAGCAAAATATTGCAGAAAAAACACCGTATACCAACGCTGTGTGCAAAAATCCCAGTGGGATGCAAGTCAAACAACAACCACAAGACAACTTAGATTAAGGCCATCCGTCTTACCCCGTACTACAACAAACAAACATGGCCAAACCAAACAACTTTTCGAATCACCAAAATAAAGCCATGAAAGCAATGAAACAGTGATCAGTGCATGCCGCCAGCCACGAAATATATCAGAAACATGGACAAAGGAAACAATATGCTTGAAGTGACACGGAGACAGAAAAGGGACATGGATCAGGAAACAAAAAATAAATCAGAGGCATACTTGTAGTGTATTGTATTCATAGCTGTCAACCCATACCATTTACCCCGTATTTTTGTACAGGGAAATTGAGCTTTCAGGTCCATACGGCGTACAGCAGTTTCAATACGGGCACATTTTTGTCTATTTGTGTTTCTCCCTAGTGATGGAACTTTGTAGGATGAACGTTGAGATTTATAAGAGCACGGGGTGACCAATAAGGTCTGAATTGGTCTGTAATAAGGTAGGGCAACTGATAAGGGGTTGACAGGTTTGTGTATTTACAATAGAAAGTTGATTTGGCCATAACACATTGCGAAAAGGGATGATGGCCGATGAAAGACTGGGGATGGAATGACAGTCAAATGAAAGAACGGGTCGACAGGACGATCACCAGTAATGGAATTACCAAATTGGCTCTTGTGCTGGATGGAGATGAATTGTAGCATCACGGAATGAAGGGGTGGCGATGTACAGGTGGAGGCATTCATCCTGAAGTAAGATCACGGCTGCTATTATATAGTCGTTAATGATTAAATATTAGATTGCAGTGTTCTTTATACTTGAAAGTGTGTTTTTTTTTCTCTGATCATGTTTTGCTGTTCAGTTTGGATGTTTGCCTTTTTGATGTCAAGTTGAACTCTCATCCGCGGATATTTGTGGGATGTATTCGCAAATGTGAGTCGCGGGTGATAGGGTTGCATATGAGAGTTTACTTTTCATGTTTGTTTTGTTTAACCAGGAGAGGACCCAAGATAATAAGCATAGCAAGAGTGACTAAGGGTCACCAAAACGACAAGCAACAACGTAACCACGAGGTACACACATGAAGCGACTATAAATCAAAGCAAACACAATCAAAATAAAAAAAAGCTCAGGTCGCCCTTGAAAAAGAAGCAACATATCACGTCTCGATGAGTTAATTTAATCTGGTGAAATAAAGGATATAAAACAAAGGTGGAATTTGCTTGCACATGAGGTTTACATACATTTTCAGCTATTCTATTAAAGCGTATATGTTCAGGAGCTAAATGGAAATGTCCAGGTCTGATAAGCCACGATATTAGTTAGAGAGTTCGTGTCGTGTAATATTCTTCCTCCAATGTGTTGCATGGCCACAGCCGCACTGTGGCTTGTCTTTAATTTTCAATTTACGAAGGAGAAGTGCGAATTCGCCTTTTGATGTCTACGGCGAATGTAAAAACCAGTAGGCGTGCGATGCTTGGGTCTGGAATGAGGTGTTTATTCTGGACGTCCACGTTGTTCCACTTTGTCCGCCAGCGTCCCCCCAGACCTGGGTGACATTCTCGGACGGTGACAGTGCGAACTCAGAATCAGAATATGTATTTATCCTGGACGAATCCGATTAGCTATAAAGCTCTTTTTCCCCACAGATCAGGACTTTGAGTCATCCACACAGCTGGTCACAAAAAATAACACGTACGTTACTGGAGGTGCTTGCCATCAATTTAGCAAGAAAGGACAAATTCACAACTTTAACATCCGACAGCTGTTGAATGCAAACGTTGGCCCCTTGATTCTGATTGGTCCGCGCGAGGGGGCGTTGTCCCTTTAATACCCTCCCCCCTGCCACACGTGGCCACTCAGCTGATCGCAGTGACGAGCGCCACGTGGTGGCCATGCTGTGCGCACGGAGCCTCCGCATCCTTGGCCGATCGCTTCACTCACCTCCGCCGTTGTCTCTCCGCTGTCTCTCGGCCATGGCGAGCCTCCTGATAGAGCAGCCCAAGTACTCGTGGCTCAAGGAGCTCGGCCTTCGGGCTGAGAACGACGGCGTGTACAACGGTGTCTGGGGAGGGCGCGGGGAGGTGAGCTCGCAGCTTTGCTAGAATTGCCTAAAAATAGTCGCACTCGTGTACGGGCCGAGCGTTATGTTATGCAATGCAGTGATGTTGATGCATAACTTGACAACTTTTTGGATACCACTTTGGCAGCGGTGCACGAGCACAGACATCAGAAACTCAACACATTAGTCAATAACGTTTCGGTCAGTTGTCCTTCATCTCTGCTGAGTTAAAGGGATTTAGTGCATTAGTTTACCCCATTATAAAAGTATGACCATTCTTTTAATGCAGAGTTAACTTTTTTGCTGCTTTGGATGCAGCATTCTATCACGTGTCACACGCTGTGCCTTTGTTTGACGTGTACAGTATTTGCACACAGAGTCGTGCCATACTAACAAGTGACGCTGCACCATATCGGCACGCCCATCGACTTACGTGTATTGGGTTGTCTCCTGAATGATCTCGCGTGGCTTTCAATTAGATATTGGATGTTCAGCCTTATTCCTGTCAGCCGATTGTTTTCCATTCGCTGAAGGTATTCGCATGTTGCCCCTGGCACGTGAAGGCACCGTTGACTGAAACTGTCGTCGGTGGGTGTTTCATTGCTTTTATGGCTTTATTTTGGTGATTTTGAAAACTTTTTTTTGTTTGGCCATGTTTGTTGTAGTACAGAGTTAGAATGATGGCCTTAATCTAAGTTGTCTTGTGGTTGTTGTTGTTGTTGTTTGACTTGCATCCCACTGGGATTTTTGCACACAGCGTTGGTGTACGGTGCTTTTTCTGCAATATTTTTCTGTCTTTTCTTGGATTTTCTGTTTGCACATAGTCGCAAAGTCAGTTTAAGATGTTTTCTTGTTCTTGTTTTTGTTTGTTGCGGTTGCACCCGATTCAAGAGCCGAATGGCTCACAGGGCTCTACCTAATAAATGAACTTGAAAATGAACTTGAAACTTGTGAAATGCTACGTATGGTACGAAAGTTCTACATACGTACATAGGCAGTGACAATGTTCCTTGCCAGCAATGCGATACTAAGTGGTTCACATCAGATATGTGAACTGTAAGGCAGTCACTTTTTTCCATTTTGGAAACTCATGTACGTGTGTCAGCACACATCTGTGCCAGCATTGCACAGCAATGTGCCACTGCATACCAGTCAAAACACATTCCTGCGGAGGGAGCTGGTAGGAACGTTGGGTTGCTCGGTCAATGGCCAGGGTCAACGGCGGCGTGGTGTATTCCGCAAATATGGCCGACTGTGAGGGCGGGCACAAGCTGGCGTGAGTAGGTCAAACGTTGAGTTTTATAAGGGCACCACGGGGTGATCAGTCCCTCCCCACCAAGCCCCACCCCTCCCACGCACCACCCAGCCCCAACCTCCCACCCAGCCCCTCCCCACCCTCCCCTCCCCACCCAGCCCCTCCCTTCCCACTCAGCCCCTCCCTGCATGACGGACGGACACAATAATCCCCTGTGGGCTGGTGTAACCAGGAGGTTTCTACCAGTATAAAGTGTCAGTGATTTACTGCTAGAATGAGCACTGGCTATTTTCTTCTTAAGCACCACCTCCAATAGGCGGTGCTCATCTGTTTACAGTCCTGCAGAGCCAGTGGTGGAAATTCCACATTCCTAGGGCGAGTCTATCCATAGGACAACCACTTCTTAACCTCTCCACAAAGTCGTAACATTATTGTCGACCCCAGAGAGATGATGATGGGATGTGTCAACGCACAACCAGGATCAGAAATCACAACTGTCCAATTGCAAGGTGTGCATTACATCGGCAATGTTTGCTGAAATTTCAAGTACATTGCGAATATTCATGAAGAGTTGTAATTGACCCTACGTCTTCTGCGTGGCTTTTTTATTCTATGTACTGCCGGAGAAAGTACATCTTCATGTATTTTTTCATACGAATACGTTGTAGTGATTGGATTGCACGGTGTCTGTAACGTACCAAAACCTTGCTAAACATATGTCTGCAATCGACTGTATTGCAAAACCACTCGATTGCGCAAGCTAATGAGTTCACGTTTTTATTTATTATATTGATGATTCTCTTGTGTTGGGATGTTTAGCTCGTGACGTCATACAGCCCTGCTACGAATGAACCCATTGCACATGTGCGCCAGGTATGACTCAACCACTTCACATGTCAAGCTGTCGTTTTGATTGACTTCACACAAAAAATGACAGCAACAAAGCAATGCTCTTGGTTTATCCAGGAAGGCCTCGCCGAGGCTGAAGACTTTGTCAACAAAGTTATGATTGGGATATTTGGCCAGTTCCATTTGAAGGAGTTTTGTGGCTGGGAGCAAACCCAAGCACCTGAAAACCCCCACGTGCATATGAGAGGATGACACTTGAAGCTTCACCGAGATAGATTCAATGATACATTGCGTTACTGCCATCTCCTGGCTATCTCATCTGAAGCCTAGAAACACCTGGTATTCCCAGGCAGTGCGGGGTCACCCTCACAGCGGCTTTTGGCTAGCGATCAAACAATCACGGTCACTGCATCACGTGCTTTCAGATGTGCTTCTGCAGCCGTTTGGAACGCTCTTCGGATATTAGGAAGCCACTGGAGCTATGCACTTTTAAATCTAGAATGAAAACATTTCTTTAGAACTGCCTTTTGTGTTCAGTTTGTTGCCTTACCCTGCACCTCTGATTTAGTACGGTTGGCTACGTACAGTGTGAAAGAAGTTCAACATACATAAATACAGACAAACAGGCTTCGCACTGCCTGGCTTTGTTTTGATGATATTTGGTGCATGCAAGGTGCACTGGTCATAGGGCAGTTGTGGATATCGTAAGACAAATAATGGCAGTTGTCTGATTGAAATATCGTTAAGTACAATATTAATGTTTTGAACTGTTTTGTGTGTGATGGGTTTGCTTTGTTTTTCATAACAGACATCATTGTATCTCACCGCGTCTAGGCCACACTTGCAGATTATGAAGACACTGTGATGAAGGCAAATGAGGCATGGAAAGTTTGGGCAGATGTAAGTTTGTTTCTACTTTTTTATTACTATAAAAGCATTGCTTGCATGCTATTTGTCTATGAAGTGATGCATGTTGTAATTATCTTTTTCCTTCAGATTCCTGCACCGAAGCGGGGTGAAATTGTTCGACAAATTGGTGATGCTTTGAGAAAGAAGATAAAAGTTTTGGGGAATCTGGTAACTAAACTGCTAATTTATTGCTGTTGAAGGCCTCGCATTAAGTACCATCACGAATTATTTCTGCAATTGTTAATCACTTTACACCCAACAATTTAATGCATTTATCAACAAAAAATCAAAACATGTTTTTTTTTATGCACATCCTACAGCTCTAGTTGCTGTAGTACATATCACCAGATAGAGTTTGGCATGTATATATATATATATGCGAGTTCAAAGCACGTAAGATTATGAGGAGCCCCCGATTGAATGTATTAACATGGTTTGTTAATGCGTTGGCATGAAGGTGTCGCTAGAGATGGGCAAGATCGGAGTGGAAGGGTTCGGAGAGGTGCAGGAGTACGTAGACGTCTGTGACTACGCCGTGGGGCTGTCGCGTATGATTGGCGGCCCAGTCCTGCCCTCTGAACGTACGTTACGCACTACCGCTCCACGATGATTGGCCGCATATCACGCGCAACATTAACGGTTTGTAGGGGCGCCACGGTGGCGAGCTGTTAATTACCTCGCCTGATATACAGGAGATTGTGGCTTCGATCTAGACTGATGCCTGTATATTTGGAGTTTGCATGTTCTCCCTGTAGTTATATGGATTTTTCTCCCGGTTCTCCGGTTTTTCCCTCTACATTTAGTAACATGCATGTACAGTATTTGGAAGTTGTAAATATCCACATGATAAGCCACTTTGTTGAGCTATCAATTGTGACCAGGTCTCTTCTGAAAAAAGAGTTATCTAGCTCTGTGGGTCTTACCTCGTAAAATATAAATAGTTTCAATAGTTTTTTATATGGCTATATCATTAACTAAATGTTGACTAATCTCTGCAGTGATCCAAATGTTAAGCTTTTTGGCAAAGTTCAATTTGCACTCACAACTAGCTGTTACTTATTCACATTTGTAATTCATTACAAACGTTGTTATTTGACTGTTTAATAATTTCTGATTTTCTCTTGTGCTAGGCCCTGGACATGCCTTGATTGAGCAGTGGAATCCAGTGGGTCTAGTGGGAGTCATCACAGCCTTTAACTTCCCCGTGGCTGTGTATGGTTGGAATAATGCACTTGCGCTTGTCTGTGGGAACTGCTGTTTGTGGTGAGCAATGCTTAATTATGTTCAGCCTCTTGGATACACAGTGTTAGGGCAGTCACGTGACCGAGCAACGGCACGTTTGCCGCTTGTCGGGAGAGATTCGCTGTTTGAGCAGATGCTACACTGGGCACGTGGACCATATATAAGAGCCATTGCTTTACAGTGGACGTTAAAGATTTCGTGACATTCGAATGAGAGTAGGACGAGTGTGCTGTAGCCATGGTCCAAATATGATAATTGCTCGCAAATGAATTGAGGGGAAAAAATGGCATAGCAACATCACCCCCCCTAGAGGTAGGGCATTTCCATTTTCATGCCGGTGCTGCATGCATGTTATGAAGCAAAGGGACATCTGCCAAGTCACAGGGTTTTGATTTGCCTTGTGATTTTGTTCTTTTAGGAAAGGTGCACCAACCACTCCACTAACAAGTGTGGCTGTTACCAGGTGAGCTGCTACATTTCCATTAATTTGGTTTCAGGACTAAGGCCTGTATATTTAAATATGACATTTCATCATCATATTTTATAGAGTTGATCAGCCCTAGTCAATACACTGCTGGATGAAGGCCTCCCCAAACTGTCACCATTCCTCACAATGATTTGATGCAACAATCCATCTAGCGCCTACACACGGCTTGTTTCATCCCTCCATCCCCTCAGTGGACGTCTTCTCGGACTCATTCAATCCCTTGGCTGCCACTGTCATTATTGCCCAATGGCAATCGTACCCTACCCAAGCCCACTTTTTCAATTAGAATAATGTTTTAACCTGCATATGATCTGTAATTCATTGTCTTCTATTCTTGCCTATGGCGATATTTTCAGGAACGAAATGCCAATGTCGAGGTCTACTAGTCACGATGAGAGGGCGCCAAGAGAGAGCTTGCGTAGTATAGCTATTCCTCCTCCATTGCAGGAGAGCATACTACAGTGGTTTAGCTACATGGTCAGTAGTTTGGTTTGCATGGCCACTTTCGCACTGTGGCTTGTCTTTTATTTTTCATTTATGAAGGAGATGTGCGCAGTGGCCTGTTGATGTTTTGTTTGCAGTTGGTGGGTACACCAGTGTCTTCGAAGAATGTAAAAGTCAGGAGGTGTGATGTTTAGGTCTCAAATGAGGTGTTTATTGTCTAATCAATGATAGAGTTGCTTATTTATAATTGCAAGATGCGTCTTCTAATGTCTTTTTATATTCCAAAATCAGAATTGTTGCAGAGGTTTTGGAGAGCAATAATCTTCCTGGAGCTATTTGCTCATTGACTACTGGTGGCGCTGACATTGGGTATGTGTGAAATGGAACATTGGAGATTTATCTCAACAACACCCACTTAAATGCTTTATGTATCTATTTAAAACACTGCATTTACGCAATTGTAACAAAATAATATTGAATTATACGTTATACGTAGGGATGATAAAACACATGTCGCTATCATCATCATCATCAGCCATGGTCAATCCACTGTGGGATGAAGGCCTCCCCAAACTGCCGCCAACTTTCACACTCCTAAGATGCAACAATCCATCTGGCACCTGCACACATGCTGATTTAATTGCTCCATCTTCTCGTTGGTTGTACACTATGATGTGACACATCAGTATACAATCACATCTTCGATAAGCACGGTTGGCGATTTACGGTGCAAAAGAAGTTCAACATACTACATTTTTTGCTGCTTTGAAAAAATAAATAAAAATGCACTATGTCTTTGGACCAATGTTTTTATTTCTATTGCAGCACGGCTATTGCACGAGATGAGCGTATACCGCTGGTGTCCTTTACTGGCAGTACTCCAGTCGGCAAGCAGGTGGCTCTCATGGTACAAGAACGCTTTGGTAAGCAAATCAACAGAGCAATGGATTGATCTGAAAAACACATGCAAGTTAATAATGTGATTACTACATGGTGATTAAATTCCTTAATTGTTTCATATGACGTCTTTTCCATCAGGTAACAAGCTGCTGGAGCTTGGGGGAAACAATGCCATCATTGGTATGCAAACATTGTTAATATAGTCATAATTTAAATGTATCTTAGTATTAATCTAGTTGACGGCAGCCTGTGGCATTTTATTCAAGCCATAGTTTGTGGATTCCATTTTGTCATTCTATGTGTCTGGTTGACGACAGCAGTCATAAATGTAATGCACTATGGATTATTTAGCTGCTATACATTTCCAACATGATCAGCCACTTTGTTGAGCTATCATTTGTGGCCCAGGTCCCTTCTGAAAAAAAAGTTAATTGCTCATTTGGCTTCATGTGGTAAAATAAAAATATATTTTTTATTTGTATACTTTGCATTCCTATCGTGCCTGTGCATAGTTTGTTGTTGAAACTTCTGACCTGCCCCGACTGGACAACTGTGAAAAAAAGCTTTATAGCTCATCGGATTCCTCTAGTATAACTTAAGATTCTGATCAAATGTTTGTACGTTTGTTGCACAATTCCCCCCCCCCCCCCCCCCACGAATATCATCATGTCAGTCAATCAGTATACTTAGAAAATATATTTTTTATACATATATAGTCAATTACCATTTTTGTTCTTCCTCAATGCACTGAAAGTCTCTAATGACGTTATTAAATTATCTTAGTCTGCGTCTTCATTCAGACAAGTTAATTTCATCTCATCATAGTCTGCAATGCTTAGGTGGGTAGCTGTAATAATCATCACGCTTGATGATTTTTGTGCACTCATAGTCATGATTGACGAATAAAAAACTGCCGTTGACATTTTGTTAACAAAATGAACGTTGCACGCAGGTTCCGTTTGTACGAGGGTAAACCAAATTGGAAAAGGATCTCTTGCACACTGTGCTTTTATGTTCCGAGTGCATCTTTGCGGTTACAAATGTGCTTGTTTTTGTCTTGGCAGTAATGGACGATGCAGACCTGAATCTGGTGATCCCCGCAGTGCTCTTTGCTGCAGTGGGGACAGCTGGACAGCGTTGCACCACTACCCGCAGGCTGGTAAGGCAGTGCAGGTGAAAGGTTGGCCATTGTACAAGCAGTCTATGTAGGCTGATCATAGTAAACAGGTGAATAGATCTGACCAATTAACACCCACTCTTAGATTTACCAAACACTCATAAATGGAACCGACAAAACATCCAAATAAATTTTACCAATTTGTTTAATTTGTACTTTCAGGCAAATTAATCGGCAAATCTTACGGAGCAGTGCGCCCCATGTGTCCGACAATCATCAGATGCAAGTTTCACAGGACATAAATTTTAAATAAAATCCTTGAAATTGCTTTTCTATCTTTTCCACACGAGGGGGCACAAGTTCTTCTGTGAGATTGTCACGTGACATTCAAACCATTTTAATTGTTTAATGCTCAGAGCTGGAATTTAGCTAAATCGAGTGTAAAATCTAATTTTATATAATCATCTTTGGTAACCGGAATGAGAACATCACCTCGCTATACCTGAGGAACCCAGTTTTAATCACAGGTAGCATCCTGAATTTGAACCCAGAATGTTATCTCTGCCAACTCGGCACTCTTACATCTGTGCCACCTGGCTACCTCTTACTCAAGAATTTTTTTTGAATTTATAGTCTTTCTTGCATAAACAAATAATATAATAATATACGTGTTGTTATATTTGACATAATGTAGCACTCCGATTGCAGTGTAGAGCATATGCATTGTGTTTTTTTCTTCTTCTTCATCATGCAGCTGCAAATTTTTTTTATTTTTGTATGTGGTTTAATATGTGATAGATAATTGATTGTTGATCAATACTAATTGAGAAGATTAAATCTCAATGGAAGGCCTTTTCAACTCCCTTGAATAACAGGCATTGTCTCGGTGGATCTCAAACAGTTCTAAATGAACCTCATTGATTGATTGATTGAACGTGCTGTGCCACTTTCCTGCCCAGATTTTGCACGAGAGCATTCATGATAAGGTGGTGGAATCATTGGTGAAAGCCTACAAACAGGTTCGCATTGGAGATCCTCTGGATGGTAAGGGCTCTGGAGTCCAAAACTCAGCTCCTGGATTTTAGTAAATTCCTCTTTCAATAGACTCCTTTCAAAATAATAATATTGGTCGCAAAAGCCTACGTGTTTAAACTTCTTTCAAAAGCTATTACATCTCTGTCGGCAAGAAAGTTGAGTGAATTCCTAGTGGGACGTGACCCATCCATGAACTCTTGCAGACATTGGCAAAAAATTCTGTTCAGCATTTTCACGCTAAATTCATTTGACATTTAAATAATTCAACACCTGCTTCCCAAGGAATGCCAATTTTGGGAAAAGATTAATATCTATAAATCGCTGACAGCTTCATTACATTAAGTCCTTGGCATTTATTGGAATGGCTTAAAAAGCTGTTGTGGCACTTAAAGTTATACGGAAAGTAACTTGAGCAATCTTGGCATTTCTGTCCAGCTAATACCTTGTACGGGCCGCTGCATGCCAAGCAATCGGTGGAGATGTTCAAGGCAGCGGTGGAACAGGCTGTGAAGCAAGGAGGAACTGTGGCGTGTGGTGGCAAGGTCCGTTTGTTTGCAATACCTATGGAGTTACATTTTTAAGTATCAGCCCAGAAATTTCTTATTTGTTTAACATCTTCACATTTGAAATGTTGTTGGCAGAATTGTACAAATCCACTTTACCCTGAGATTTTTTTTTATAAGCAAGGCTGTCGCAAACTGCAAGTCTGTCTATTCTAGCTAATGATTTTCTGAGCATCCTTAATGTCATTTGTAAATGGCACATAAACAGACAGCCAGTGGCTTGTCTTTAGCAAAACAAAAACAAATTAATGTACATTATCTGAATGTATTTCAGTCATAAGAAAACGTATCAGGAAATTGGGTGATTTAAGTTTGATTGCCATCCATGGATATCAAGTGATATCCAAACTGTTGTCAAGTATGAGCAGATGACACTTAGGACCCAACACTACGCCTTTATGCAGCAGTGGATTTGCAATTCATTTCTTTAGAACAGTTTTTAGTGTTTCTTATTAGTACGGTTAGCTACGTAGAGTGCGAAAGAAGTTCAACATACATACATACATACGACAAAGGGATGTAAATGTAGAACTTAACTCTATGGGAACTGTGCAATAGCGTGCCACAGTGAAAACCACAGGTTCATGCAAATTTTTGGCCAGTGTGTGCTTGTCGAAGAATGTAGCTCAACATGCCCAGGAGGGTAGTGTTTTAGTTACAGACGAAATAGTTATGGTCCACATTGCGGGTTGTGAACCGCATGATCATGAGGTCTGGGAGTGTCCAGTTTAATGCGGTTCTTTGACTTGCGGTTGATTTGAAGGGTGCAGGAGCTGAATTGTAAAAATCACAAAGATACAATGTGCATATTTCGATTTAAAGCTTTCGTGACTGCAGGGATTCATCTTCTTGGTTCTTTCGGTAAAGTCACGTGGAAGGGAAGTAATAAAATAATAAAAATAAAACATAATAAAATAATATAATATTATGTTTTATTTTTATTATTTTATTACTTCCCTTCTACGTGACTTTACCAAAAGAACCAAGAAGATACAATGTGCATTTTTATTTTTCTAGGTTATTGACCGACCTGGAAACTTTGTGGAGCCAACCATCATCACAGGCCTGAAGCATGACGCCGCCATCGTTCACCAGGAGACGTTCGCTCCAGTGCTGTACGTCCTGAAATTTAAGGTAAGCGTTCTACACGATTAGATTACACTTTTAATGTACGGAACAACGTCGCATGTTTGATTGTCACATATCCCGCCCTGGCCAATTATAACCGGCCACACCCAGCGCAGTGTTTGTGCACGGTGGTGTAACTGTCATTTCTATAGATATTCACATATCCGACCTTTTAACATATACCTCAGTCCCCAGCTCGTCAGATAAGTGATGTACTGTATATATACACTTACTACTCTTCATCTCTGATGGGACATACGGCTACAAACGAGCTCACTGTTTTTATAATTAGTAGTTATTTCCACTTTCATAAGAATTTTTCTGAAACGTACTGTTTGGACATTTCTTCTCGCAAGATTTATTTCTGCACATATTTTATTTTTGTGTTGGTTCAATGTGCCATCAGGCTCTAAAGTGTATTGAACTCGAGCTGTGTGTGGGTGTAATGAAGATGTTTTAATCTAAGTTGTCTTGTGGTTGTTGTTGTTTAACTTGCATCCCACTGGGATATTTGCACACAGCGTTGGTGTACGGTGATTTTTTCTGCAATATTTTGCTGTCTTTTCTTGGATCTTCTGTTTGCACATAGTCACTTTAAGATGTTTTCTTGTTCATGTTTTTGTTTTTTGTTTGTTGCGGTTGCACCTGATTCAAGAGCCGAATGGCTCACAGGGCTATACCTAATAAATAAACTTTGGTATGTGGTGTACAGGCTTTTGAAGAGGCCATTGCGTGGAACAATGAGGTGAAGCAGGGTCTTTCTAGCAGCATCTTTACCCAGGACCTGGGAAGAATCTTCACGTGGCTTGGGTAAGGGTAGTAATTGTGGTAAACAACAGTGCAATTGCATTTGTAGTTCACGTATTCAGCTTTGCCAACAAGTTCACGCCATGCAGTTTAACGTGCAGATTGGCAAGGGAACCGAGGTCCCCTGTGGTTATAGCGGGACTCTACGAAGTTTGGCATGACATGCAGCACCACACTCTCGACCGCCTTTGTCTCCTCAGCACTGATTTTGACACACTTCTCTGGGTGCTCGTATAAGATTGAGTCGACCTAAGGGAGGTCCAGGACCGGTTCAGATAATTACCATGCATGTTAGCCATGGCCAGGAATTTAACTCGGGAAGATGACATCCGTATGAATACATGTGTTGGCGATTAAAAACACATCTTGACCAGATAAGTTGCTAAATTGCTCAGCAAATGTGCTTGTTTCTAAGTGTACTCTTTTTTTTTATACTGATACTGTGAATTGAGCGAATTAGCTTCTAGTTGAATAAATTTTCTGTAATTGAGACTTGGTTAAAAGGATAAAACAATAACTGACCAGTGACGCACTTGATTGGAAGATGTGTTCTTGCTGTTGTCGTGAGCTCTTAAAATGAAAAGGCTGGCTTGAAAAATGGCCCTTTAGGGGTGCATTTGTAAATAGCTGAAAAAATACATCTCAGACGTCTGAAACCCCCAAAAAATGCTGCTATAATTTCAGGCCAAAAGGTTCTGACTGTGGAATCGTGAATGTGAACATCCCCACGAGCGGTGCGGAGATTGGTGGTGCCTTTGGTGAGTGCTGCTTTGTCTGCTGATTTAATGCATGTGCTATCGGAACAATGGATTTAGTGATATTTATTTGGTTGGAAATAACTTTCCGCTGCAGTGTTCTAAGGTTGTTAAAATTCCTCTTGCATCTCTGCCGTGTACAACCACCATCTGGCGGAGAGCATCTTTATGTAACGTGCGCAGCGAGGACTTTGAGAACGGTCAAGGCAAGACTATGGACTTTGGAGACATTGCAGATCTTAAATATAAATGTGGCAACAGTTGACTGATCCTTCAGACCATTCTACATCTCTTCTAAATCCATTTTGGATTGGTGAAGTGGGGGGGAGCGGGGGGGCTGTTTGGTGGGAGGGGATGGGAGAGGTACAGGATCAGCTAAGGTCACACTCGCCACTTGTGATAGCTCTCCATGACTGCAAATTCATCGGATTCGTAGCACGATGCGCTCAATGTTGTCTCAACGCTCCACCCCTCACTGACCAATAAGGTGAAGTATGGTCAAACAATCCCCCAAGGACTGACACTGCATGGGGAGGTCTTCATCCAGCAGTAGATTGACAAATGGGCTGTAAATCATGAGACTATGCACCCGGCTTGATGCTGCCATGGCATTGCCGTAGCGTCGTGGTTAGCACCACGAGATTTACAGAGGTCACCGGTTCCAGTGAAGGTTTATTCAATCTCACCCGCCTCTGTTCAGCCAGCAGTATACACGGGTACACCACAGTTCGTCGACCAGACTGTCTACTTGGTGAAGGTGAAGTGTGAATATTTCAAACCCTCATCCAATACATCTGACCAGTGTGGAAGTGGAGGCCAAATATCATGTAGAGGGGCTCTCTGCAGCTCTCAGTCATGTAGAGATGATTCCATCAGCAGTGGTGTGAGCATGCAATTGCAGGGCCGCACCTTTATCCTCTTACCGACATAGGTTTTAATTCTAGATTTGAAGCTTTCGTGACTGCAATATTAATAAAAGTATGCAGCCCTTGCCCCACCACCTTCTCCAACCATTATATAAACGGAGTGGTAGCTTCTGCAATCTCTCATTTACTTGATACAGCTGTCGTGGCTGTGACGGTACCACCTGAAGACGGAAGCTTGTGTTGCCTCCGAAACGTCGTGATTTTTATTTTATTTTACTTTTTAATGTTTTTTACCTACGTGACTTTAACGAAAAAAACTAAGAATATAAAAGACGTACACATGCCCCCACTGTCCCTGTATCTCTTTGCGTGCAGGTGGAGAGAAGCACACTGGTGGGGGCCGCGAGTCTGGCAGCGATTCTTGGAAGCACTACATGCGGCGGTCCACTTGGTGAGAACGAGGCCTTTAAATGTAGCCTGCGACAGTTACAAATGTGCATTGTAAGGCAATGCAAGTCGTAAATGAATGATTTATGTTTACGATGATTGTATATGTTCAAAAGCAAATAGTGCCCGTAGTTACTCTGCTTGTCAACAAGTTAAACTTGTCTTCTTGGTTCTTTCGGTAAAGTCACGTAGAATGGAAATAACAAAATAACAAAATAAAACATAATAAAATAATTCTCACGACGTTTCGGCCACAACGCAAGTAGCCGTCCTCAGGTGAAGGTCTGTCGGGAGACATCCATTCATTCAGACGCTGTCTCCCGACAGACCTGGTCTTCACCTGAGGATGGCTACTTGCGTTGCGGCCGAAACGTCGTGATAATTATTTTATTATGTTTTATTTTGTTATTTCCATTCTACGTGACTTTACCAAAAGAACCAAGAAGATGAATCCCTGCAGTCACGAAAGCTTTAAATTGAAAAGTTAAACTTGATAACACTTGAGTTTTCGCAGCCGCTTAAAATCCAAGTGCCGTTTTTCCGGGTTGGGCTGTATGTAGAGTGTTTCTTCTCTCGGGCTTTCGCCGCGCACAACTCAGCTCCTGAAGATGTATGCAGCTGTGCGTGGTGGAAGCTTGAGAGAGGAAATGCTCGACACGCAGCCCAAATCCGGAACACCGCACTTGGAGCGAGTCAACTTGGTTCACCTCCCTTTCAAATGTGTTTGTCCATCAACCATTCTGATAACTGGGCATAGTTCTCCTATGCGAGTCGAAAACACAATGCATCTGAGGTTACTATAAGCAACTTAACAGGCTCGTCAACAACACCTTGAGTGGCCTCTCAATGAACATATCACAAGCGATGTTTAGGGCAATGTTCCTTCTTAGAGAGGCTAGAGAGAGAGAGAGGGTGTTAAGGGTTTGATACTGCATTCTACACCATGGGGCCTGATTAGATTTTTACATTTTAAAACATGACCAGTTAAAAAAAAACTGCATATTAAGAGTTAACTAATAGTTGCTATTGAGTTAACTATAAATAATTTAAGTAAATAGTAATACACTCATTGTGTGTGTGTGTATATATTAAAAAAAAACTCAACACATTTGTCAATAACGTCAAGTTACATTTGAACCTTACAATATTGATCATTAAAATATTTAATTTTGTGATTCAATTGCAGGTGTACAATGAGACGAAAAAAATTCACATTTTATCAATGCATTTTAACAAGAATAGTTGGTGATTATTACTTTTGTTCCTTTTCAATATTTAATGCCGCTAATTATATCTATACACCGTTTTTACTGTTTCACAGCACTATCAACTACAGCAAGAACCTACCATTGGCACAAGGCATCAAGTTTGAGTAATGAGTGGCTGCAAGCATTGGCGATCGCGATGTTCGTATTTCAAAAGGACCCAAGAAAAGTGGCTTTGTGCTGATTAAGGCATTTTTGCTATTTACGAGACAACTCATTTAGATTTAGAATAATGCTTCCATTTTCATAAACGTATCTCAAGTGCCCTTTTTTGCAACTAGGAGCCGGTCTTGTTTGTACCAAACGCTGAGTCCTAATCACAAAACACAGCAAAATGTGTTCATTATTTCTCACACAAACGGTTAATTTCATTTCATTTTAAAATGAAACGTTGCTTTGCAAGCTATAATTTACCAGGAAAGGAAATGACACGGTTTATCTGGCATAGTGCTTTGATATAATTTACTGTTCTGTGTACACGTAGTGATAAGATGAAGAAAGAGCGATGAATAAAATATGCTTTTTGAAAGTCTTTTGTCTTGGCCTTTAATTATTAAAGCAAACCAATGACCCCCTCCCCATTGTCTTGTTGCTCATTGTGGTATTACTCCGACCTGTTTAATTAAAGTTGTACGACCATACATTTGCTTGCAGGCTTTTACCTGCCATTGGAACACAATGTTTGCACAGTAATACGGGTGAGGACATTTTTTCGGTGCAGTGGCAAGACACATTTTTGCAGTACAGTAATTTACACAATTAGTTTCAGTGAATATTCACATACAAGTTAAAATGAAGGTTCATCTCATTTCCGAATCTGGCTTTGCGTCACCGAGGTTAGAGTTGGGATATCTGATTGGTGACCGATTATCGATTCAATTACTCGAGTAATCGGGCAATGCAATTTGCAACAGAGTTGCATCTTTGCCCACGTGTGCTACTGGATGGGAGCTGTTGGGCAGGGTTTGGTGACGAACTTGGCGTAATGTTGGGGCGGTGGGGGGGTCTGCTGACCTCGGAGGTGCACGATGCTGCGGGGATTCTGAGTCATCCGCCACGCAAAAGTTGACAATTTTCAATCGATTGACCAACTTAATTGGATAATGCAAGCTGTAGACGGAGGCCATCTCCAGAGTGGTCCAGATGTCTCAACTCCCCCAATTGACCGATTTTTTCCCCCTTTGCATATTCCTGTTTTAAATAAACCGTATTTGTTTCAGATGACTGATACGATGCTATTAAATTAAGCTATGTCCTTTTTAAATTGCTTGCATTACACACCCATTGGTATACAAATATTAAGCTTCAGAGGATTGAATAGGGGGGGTCACAAGACATCTGGACCATCATGGACACGGCATAAGCCTTGATTACGTTGAATTTGTTTTGCGATGCGCATGGTGGAAGTATGGCCAAACAAAACCCTCAATGCCCACGCGGGGTGGGGGGCCTTAATAAAGCAGCGGGCATGACTCGGGTCCGTAAATTCAATGCACGGCGAAGAAAGTAACTTCATGGTGTTTATCTTCTTGGTTCTTTTGGTAAAGTCACGTAGAAGGGAAATGATAAAATAATAAAAATAAAACAAAATAATTCTCACGACGTTTCGGCCAAAATAATTCTCACGATGTTTCGGCCACAACGCAAGCACCCGTCCTCAGGTGAAGAACCTGAGGACGGCTGCTTGCATTGTGGCCGAAACGTCGTGAGAATAATTTTATGTTTTATTTTTATTATTTTATCATTTCCCTTCTACGTGACTTTACCGAAAGAACCAAGAAGATGAATCCCTGCAGTCACGAAAGCTTTAAATCGAAATTCATGGTGTTTGTTCCACAATATCAAACGCAATTACGCATTGCTGCGTTATTGTGCGGGGAGGGGGGGCTTTAAGTGTAATGCATTACACTTATGCTGTTCTTGATGTAATCGTCCTAATTCTCAAAACGTTGAGGTAATAGACTGCCATTTACGCAGATGGGACCAAATTATGTTTACTGGCCTTGGGGCAAGATTGACTTTAATCCTGGCTCTAATGCTTGCTGTACCTTGAAAAACATAAGAATATGTTTTACCCTTTCTGACAATAAAACGGGTGTTAAGATGTCTAACAACTAAATATAATTTTTGTTACAAGGAATCAAGTCGCCATTAACCACACGTACATGCAAACAAACGTGCTCCGATAATTAAATAGGCATTGTCTTTGAAACTGATTGGCTTGCACTAGAGGCAGCCTTCTTTAGTCTCGCCAATGTCGGGCCAGAGAAGGCCAAAAGGCGAACAATACAAAGACAATGCACTAGCTGTGCCATTATTGGCGATTTGCGTCAATCGGGAAAACCTTCAGCCAGCAGAGAGAGCCATTGAGCCCTTGTTGAAATTTAGCTTTTTTTCTGTTGATTATAAACCAATTCTAGATTTGAAGCTTTCGTGACTGCAAGGATTCATATTCTTAGGTTTTTTCGGTAAAGTCACGTAGGTAAAAAATAAAAATTATACCTGATGATGATTGCTTGTGTTGCAATCGAAACGTCGTGATTTTTATTTTAATTTTATTTTACTTTTATTAATTTCAATTTAAAATTTTTACCTACGTCATTATAAACCAGTTTTGCAATGTAAATGCGCCGTCTGCCTAAACCAGACATGTTTATGGTTCATCGTGTATTTGAAGGTGTAAGTTTGAACTGGGAATTTGTACTTATGAATTTCCCTTTATTTCCACGGTTTATTTTTAAACGTGCAGAACAAGGAAATGTGTACTGTCTCGGCCTCGCTGTGTGCTGCGTTGCACCACTATCCGAGTAGTTAACCTCGAAATTCAATAAACCTTCAGAGCCAGGGTGAACATCTGAATCCAAACGTATTTAATTAATAGAACGAGGTAAAACTGATGGAAAAACAACACAAAATACAGCATCTGTTAATACTTGCAATATCGATACAATTAATAAACACAAGGAGCATCATAACATTGTCTTAGATAACATGAAACTCAACAATAGGTCCTGGTTGGACCAGGTACCTAAATTAACACTGAATAGCTACACAAGAGAATAAGCTACTGTGTTAAGTAAGGTCACATTGTGTAATCACCATACTGCAGCCTAAATGTACAGCACTGCACATCACATTGAACTGTGGATGAGATACTTCTTCATCCTTGCTCTCAAGATCGCATTAAAATTACATGGGTACAAGTCTGGCTCGACTTATCCAATTACAAGTAACATTCCCAATAATGCAAGTGGCATGCTTCGTTGTTAACTAGGCCTCATATTAACATAAACATTTAACAGCATTATAAAGGCATTTTCAGCATTATAACGGCAATCCAAACATTATAACAGCATTCCCACTCTGAGTAATGGCTGACACCCTGCCTCATGGCTTAGAGAATCTTAAATCGTAACTTCCTGGTCACGTGACCAAACTCAACACCATATCAGGAAATTCGTGTGTAATCAACACCCCCATACCTGCCATGGGGCAGAACATGTACAAAACGTTTATCCGTGACCCTATTATTCCCCGTTCCACATAAAACTATTATCAGCGGTCATATATCTTCTTGGTTCCTTCGGTAAAGTCACGTAGAAGGGAAATAATAAAATAATAAAAATAAAACATAATAAAATAATTCTCACGAAGTTTCGGCCACAACGCAAGCAGCCGTCCTCGGGTGAAGACCAGGTCTGTCGGGGAGACAACATTCAGACGCTGTCTCCCCGACAGACCTGGTTTTCACCTGAGGACGGGTGCTTGCGTTGTGGCCGAAACGTCGTGAGAATTATTTTATTATGTTTTATTTTTATTATTGTATTATTTCCCTTCTACGTGACTTTACCGAAAGAACCAAGAAGATGAATCCCTGCAGTCACGAAAGCTTTAACGCGGTCATATAATCTTCAAATCTTTTGTAATTATCCAGTTTTCTTTCAGATAAGTGTATATCGATAAGTATGTAGATAGGACAAAACACACGAGTGGAGTACTCTTCCTTAATATATGTATGTGACAGAGTCGAGGAAATGTGTGGATGAAGCTTTCATTCTCACTGGGCCAGGTTGAACAGACGAAACCCGCAAGAGCAGCAGATTTCACAACCATGTGCCATAATTGCACTTGCAACACTGCATAGTTATTACGCACTGCATGGTTATTACCAGCTAAGCAGACTGGCTCTTAACATGGTTCTCGGATAATAGGGCATTTAAATGCATGCTGACATTAGGCATAACATATTCAGAACTTGAATCAAGGAATTCATGCGAAATATTCCATGAAATGCAGTGTATTTAAGCCAAGAAAACTCACATTACAGTACAGTCTGTTACCATATAACACGTGTTTTCATAACGCGAATTGGATATAACGCGATTGAATGAACAGACCGTCACGAGAGTAAGAATAAGCGGTGGTAAGGCTGCCTCGGCATAGCATCACACAAGACGGGATGCTGCTGGATGCTTCGAGATGTTTCGAGATGCTACTCACGCTCCTCAGTATTTATTCAGCTTGCCTAAGCATCCCACGTGTTATCGCGGACTGTGCTTTACACTCTATTATTATAACGCGATTTTTCCATAACGCGGTGTTCTTCAGGAGAACAGACTGTAGTGCTATGATTTATGTGTTATCATAAGAATCCATTCAGATCTCTCACGGAGCAGTGCAGGCCTTCGTGTCAGAGAAGTGGATATAACAGAGCTACCTCTTCAAGTGACTTCTGGTCCACTCAGTCGAGGGTAGCACTTTCCTACCCACTCTGCATGAGTAATGTCCATGGTATTGCAGACACACATTGATGTACTGGACAATGTTTAATTCTCAGAACTGAAATGGAGAAGCAATTTTATTGTTACGATTCTTGTGCAGTCATTGGTGACCGGGCTGAGATCATGAACTCCCGAAACTTGAGACCCCGGCTTAATTGCAGGCGGCTGCCTGGATTTGAACTCATGTTCTCAGCTGTGCCAGTTCAGTAATCTCACCTCTGAATCACCCGGCCTTCGAGAATTAATCATTCCAGTATTTGAGAATTATTTGTTTTACGTTGTCTGTGTTTACGGTTTTTGTGGTTGCTTTCTAAAACTCCCTGAGATGCTCATGTATTGAGACACTTTATGAATTATAATTACACCATTATCATTATTATTTGCCCGTGACAGATATATATTCAGCTTACAATTTCTTACAAATGAGACATTAAGGAAGCAGTAAACGTTGCAAACTATGGTAAGTGTGCACCTGTTCAAAAACGTGAACAGGTGCACACTTAGAAATACACCGAGACAGAAAGTGGAACACATTGATTCGAGAAGATACGCAAGTTAGAGACCCATCTATTCACCGAGAAGAATAGTAAAACATATCGCAGAGGTCAACACTTACAACGGAGTGGCATCCAAAAGAGGGAACAACAGAGGTGGGACAAAGTCATTGTTATGCAAGTCCAAGTCGAGTCTGAAGTCATCAAATTCATGACTCGAGTCTGACTCGAGTCCAAGTCACATGACTCGAGTCCAC